GRAAAWKRAAAAAAAAATTCTTTAACCAATATACATAATCATTAAAGAGCTTTTAACATTTTTACAAACATTAAGGGGCTTTAATTTATTTTATTGTAGCGCTTAATGAAATTTAACTTCAAGAATTAGACTAGTAAAGTATTCTATAAAATCTAGAATTCACGGCATGACAATTTTAAAGTATATATATAAAGTTTGGAAAACGTGTTAATCAAAAGTTGATATGATTTTTAAATTACATCAAGAAAAGAAAAAACAACCTTTATCAAATCAATCAAAGGATTGAGAGTTTTTTTTTTTTAAAGAAAAATGGTTATATTAATTTCTTTTTTARAAGTTCATTAGGGACATTTCTCTAGGACTAAAATGGGCTGGAATAGTCAGTTTAGCCCAAATTAATGACGGGCTTTTATTTGGGCTTACAGYGATCAAATACAGAATGACCCAGCCCAATAGAATAAGTTCAGTTTAGTCTTTATWCAAGGTTGTATTTCACACCATGCCTTTTCTTTCAAGGCACTCTACACTTTGAGTTGCTTATAATATCCAAAAGCATAAAAAGAGTTGGAATGACAATGGAGTGTTGCTGTTGCATTCAAATCATGGGCAGTGTGGGGTTCAAAATTAAGAATAAGGGAAAGCGACGGACTATTTAGCTATATATATTGAAGAATTCTTGTGACGGTTAACGAGTACAAGATTTGGCAGCTTTTTCCTCTTCAAGTCGAAATAAGAAGTACGTTCCTCTTTCAATTTAACCCATATGTGATGGTCAGCTTTTGTACATTGATTACCAAAGTGTCAAATGTTGGTACTTCGCGAAGAGTTTTCGGGCAAGCAAAGACATCCTGTTCGGCTACATGTTGTGTTTAGTCAATTGCATATTGGTCAACATGATTGTAGCAATACAAATGGGTGTGGAAGCATGACGTAAAAAGCTCTTTCAAACCTAATGCATGTTGCATTTTTTTGGTTTTTTGAAGTTCCAAATTATGATCCAAGCTGATGACTAAAGGCCATGCTTTTCTATGATGTTCTCATGTTGTTTGAACGCTTTGAAGTCTTGCTAAGSTATGTATGATCCAAGACTTTTGTAGATTAATTTGGGATCATTGTCTATGAATAAAAGAGAACTGAATATTGAAGATATGTAAACATATATGCACCAAAATTATATATATATGTGATGGGTGGGAACGTTGACTATACTTAACTTGCGCTTGAATAAGTAATAGTTTTTCGGTTTTTTAATTCARTAAATGTGAGAGTGGAATATCGAACTTCAACCTTGAGAAATGTATTAGGTACCTGATTTTTGTTGGCATTGCCTTAATTAAAATAAAAGTCTTACCAATTTTTGCTATTGTCCGAAAAAAGAAAGAAACTCGAAATCAAAAGGAAAGAGGAGAAATTAAGCCATGTTTCTCAAGAAAGGCTGTCGTCTCTCGGGCTTCCCTTAAGGTGACACTGAAGGTGGGAGTCTGGACCCTACAAGTGAGCAGAAAAGGGAGGAAAGAAGCCATGTCGAACCGTCCTAATGAGTGAACAAGTGTAAGATTTGCTGCTCGATAGTATGGAGGCAACTTTCTACACCTCTTGAGCTGTGTTGTTTTATCTAGAATGGCTYCGAGCATCCAGCTTCACCACAATTGCCTACCAACAATATTCCTCTTAATAACTCTTACACAACTTTCTGAGCCAAAATGTTTTGATGAAACAAATAAGGAAAAGCAAAAGCAATTCACGATTCATTTGTGTATTGAAGTCCTCTTAATGAGTAAACCAAATACAATGCAAATGCTACGAAAGACGATATGTGTTATTTTGAAATCTATCTTCGAGAAACAAGATTAAGAAATGATAGCGATAATAATATTGCCTTCMAGGAATCTTTATGAACCGAGACAACAAAAGAATCATATACACAAGATTAGAAAATAGACAGAAGATTCAAACTCAAACCAAACAAATAAAAAAGATGGTAAAAATGCAGAGATCAAAATGTACACAGAAAAACTATATGAACTTCAAATTCTTCATTTGCAATCAACAGCATTTAGGTAGTCAAGACCCTAATTCTGACCAAACTTTCAATCTGAAAATGTATCAGTGAAGAGGGTGTTCGTTAAAACTCATAAACCCCAAGAAAAAAAAAAGGAAAAATTCATCATCATCTTCCCTGAAAATTTTGAAGCTCGGGAAACAGAGGAGCACTAACTGAGACTTCAGAATTATCATCAGTGACAGAAGGAGTTGCTTCTTGATCTTCTTTTGGTTGGCTTTGATTTGGTTTGTCCAAAGCCCCGAGGCCTTCGCACTTGTCTTCCTCAGGGTCATTGTCAATCTCTGACACCGCCTCTTGTAGTTGCAGAGCGTATTCTAAGTTCCATAGCACATCTCCCATGCTCGGCCTATCCACCCCATATTCAGCTAAGCATTTCTCTGCTGCTTCCACAAATATCTTCAGTGAACCCTCTATTATTGAGCTGCTGATTTGGGGATCAACTATCTTCTCTAGTGTTCCTTTTCTATAATTCTGCATTGCCCACTCCGCCAAACTCACCTGCGGTAACAATACGTATAAATCGTTAGATATCTCATAAGCCATCCGCTCGAGTTTTCCAAGTTCAATGGTAGTTTAACATGGTATCAAAGCACACGACTCTGTGCGTTTGAACTCTATAAAGATGTTTAGAGATGAGAGTTTTAGTTTAAATGAATTTGGCCTAAGATGTCAAACCCATGTAYGATTCGCTTCGTAGGTTAGACAAATTCTCTACACGTATTATCTCGAACTCATTTTTCATATATTCTGACTTCCTAAAAATGCACTCCAAACATAGATTTCCTAACTAAGCTTAGGCTTTTGAAACCTTCCGCTTGAACCTGAAGTCTAATCCCAAATTCATTAGCCACGTGAGAGAGTGTTAAGAATATGAGTAAATGATATTAGTTTAAGTTTTTGAGTTGTATGGTAGTTTACGAACCTGCTCCCTCGGCAACTTTGGATTTATGACTTGTCTCGCGCATAGAACCTCGAAAAGAACAACCCCAAAGGAGTAAACATCAGATTTGTCAGTCAACTGTTGCCTTCTAAAGTACTCCGGATCGAGGTAGCCAAAGCTTCCTTTCACTGCTGTGCTGACGTGGGTCTGTTCCAACGATGGTGCAGCCTTTGAAAGCCCAAAATCAGCAACTTTGGCCACAAAATTGTCGTCAAGAAGAATGTTGGTGGTCTTGACATCACGGTGGATTATGCCCTGAGCCGCACCAGTGTGGAGATAGTGCAGCCCACGGGCTGCGCCTATGCAGATTTCGAGCCTCTGTTTCCACGACAATGGAGGCAGATTCGAGCCGTACAAGTGGTCGCGAAATGGGCCATTGGCCATGTACTCGTAAACCAGAATCATCTCCGATTGCTCGTCGCAGTACCCAATTAGAGAAACCAGATGGCGATGGCGGAGCTTTGAGAGCATTTCGATCTCTGTTCTGAACTCGTTAATTCCTTGGTCTGAACTTGGGTTCCCACGTTTAATAGCCACTTTCGTTCCATCTTCCAATGCTCCAACGTACACTTTTCCAAACCCACCAACGCCGATCACTGCTTTCTCAACGAAATTCCCAGTGGCAACTTGTAACTCGTTGAGGGAGAAGAAACGGCCAAGGCCCACGTTGGTGTAGATGCCTGAGAAACCAGCCTTGCTCCTTCGAGACCCGAAAACGCTTGATCTTCTGGAGCTGCTTTTGCTTGAGAAGAAGCTTGAATTKTTGGTTGATTGTAATGGGAGCAGCCATGATGAGAAGCTGTTCCTCTTCTCCCATCCTTGGGGCCTTCTCTGCCATCTGAAGATCACCACTGCAAGAAACAGAGCCGCTGCCACTCCAACGCCAAGACCCACAATGGCAACAATCTTCATTGCCATGAATTTTGAGGCTCCCATGTATGTCCCATCCACTGAAAACAACCCATCCAAGCTCCCAGCATCGTTGCTTAGCTTCATGATCTCCACCCCATTGAGGATCGCGTCTTGAATGCCTGAATCCATATTAGACGGCCCAACCTATGTTCGTGGAGTAAAAAGATTAAATTTACTATAACCTATTGACTCAAACCATTTGATTTAATATAGTTTAACATAATATCAGAGTAAGAAATAATATTTGAATCTCATCTAATCTCACTTTTTTAAGTATAATAAAGGGTAGGGATTCAAACTACTTCATGATTGAAGATAGGTGTCAATACTGCTAAGTTAAGTTTATGTTGGTTAATCCCACTTTTTTTTTTTTAATATTGATACCCACAGGTAAGCAAGAGCTATTATTTGAATCTCATGTAATCTCACGATCAAAGGAGGTCATGAAAAATAAAGTATTCGGACCYAGTGATAGTACAACATGATATCGAAACRAGAGATACTACGTTCGAACATATAAGTGTCATCTTCTCCTCCCATTCATATTAATACTCATGAGCAAAAGAAGTCTCAAGAATATGAATAAAATATTAAATTTTTTGTATCCTATCAAATAAGCTTTTGGATTAGCAGCCGTTTAACACAATTATTTGAAGATTCCATGCTGTAATCTATGTAACTTACTTTCTCTCCACAAAATTATGGTTATCTRACTCACGATTGATATCTACGGGTAAGAAAAGTGTTAAAAATATAAATAAAAGGCCAAGTTATGTGTAATTCATAGGTTTAAGTTTTTGAGTTGAGTAATAGTTTAACGACTTACCTGAATCACGATGGTGTTGTTTTCGATGTCGGAGGCATTGACGACGAGATCTTTATAGTAGGGAGTGGAAAGAGCACCGTTTATCTGAGAGAGATCAAGATCTGCGATACCCATCATCCCATTGACGTATACATCGAAGTACAGACTATTGAGAACTTTGCTCACAATGTCACAGAAATGGAGTCTGATCAAATAAGAGTAACTCTGGCCCACATCAAAACTCCAAGTCAAATTGAAGTTCTGTTGCATTGTTTTGGAATCTTGCATATCCTGCGCAGTTGCATAAACCCAATTGGGAGCAATCAATGGAGTCACTTCCTTTCCCGGGTATTTAATGGCGCTCGGAGAAACAGAGACATTCTTAGAACCCTGTGGGAATTTGTTGTAAGCAGCGTCAGTCTCCCATGTTCTAGACAGCGTATCGTTCTTAGGAACGATCTCTGGCCCTCCCACGTTAACGCGGTAGCAAATTTCGAAAGCGTAATTCGACAATCCGTTAAAGAATCCCACCGGAGAAACAGAGGTGGCGGTATCGGAAAACAGAGGATCTGGGGCGGAGACGATTTCGATGGCGTTGATGAACGCACACGAATTCTTCTTGGGTTTGAATTGAAGGGAGAATCTATCGGTAGTTATATTGATTAGATACTCTCTGAAAACCAATTTGGAGTTGTCCTTGATGGAGAAATCATGGAGGAGGACGAAATTGTCTGTGGTGACGGAGAAAACGGAATCGGAGAGATTGTAATTTGGGTTTGGGAGAGGGAAGAAGTAGAGGCGGATCCAATGGCGGCCGGTCTGAGAAATGAAGAAAGTGTAGATGGAATCGCCGGTGAAGATTCTGGCGGAGCGGAACAGGGGCAAGGACCAAGAGAACAGAGGCGAAACGGTGGCGTTTGGGGGAATGGAATCGACGGAGATCTGAACATCTTCTTCTGTGGAAAGGAGGGAGGTGGATTCGCGATCGGATTTGAAAATGCGGCCGTCGTCGAGACGGGTATGCTCCGGCGAGCCACAGTCGATCAAATAAACGTCGCCGGGGGTGAAGGAATCGAAGGGCGGTTTTTTCGCAGAGGTGATGCAGATCAAGAACAGGGACAACATGAAAAGGGAGGAGAAGGGGATTCGAGGGCGTGGTGCCCTAGAAATTTCTCCCCCCATGGCCGACGGCCGCGGTGGAGATATTTAGAGTTGTAGTAGCAGTGGGAGTGGAGGCGGTGGCCGTGGCAGAGGAGGAACCGACATGGCCGGAGGCAGAGGTTAGAGGGAGGAGAAACTGGGCATGGGATTTGGAGGAATTAAGGTTGAAAATGTACGAAAATGGAAATGCATCAGTTGCAGAACAAACTGGCATTCATAGCCATAGCCATAGCCATTAGCCATGCCCATTAGCCATGCCCTTCAACTTCGTTGGAGGCAAGTAAGTGAAACTACGTGCAAACCTGTCATGCATCCATTTTTCCAATTTTATTTTTGTTATTATTATTATTTTTATCTAGTAGTTTAATTACTGATTAAATTATAAGTTATATATCTAGGCGTTTGTTAGTATGAGCCTTAAATGGATAGAAGTTAATGACAGGTATTCATTAAATAAAGTTCTACGGTTTATTTTTTAAAGTATAAAGATTAGATTGTTTACTTTTCCATTATTATTATTATTTTCTTTTGGATAATACTTCTATTAAAGTATTCATGTGTTATGAAGGGAAGTGAAAAACGTTCCAGAGAATTTGTGAAAACATAAGAAATAGAAAACTAAACATGAAATTGTATTGAATTCGAACCTAAATTATCTATTAGAAATTAAATAGAGATTACTTAAAGTTAAAATCACCAAATTTGTAAATTAAACTTCAATTAATTTATTCTCTTAGGGATGGAGGGACGAGAGAAGTGCGGTGGGCCACTAGGATTTCTCCTTTTTCTGTTGTAATAACTACCAACTAACTCCAAAGGCCATTATCCAATCAGACTCTTTCTTGAAATTTTCTCTAAGTTAGGTATTTTTTTTTCTTCATTTAAATTAGCTCCAATAGATCTTATTTTAGTGTCTTAATTAAGAAAAGTAAAGCTCACAAAAAATTCACATATTAGGATATGCGAAGCTATGGTAATGCACACCACTAACACCAATCCTTTCAAGAGTTTTCTTCTAGTATAATATTATCATTCTTCTTTTTATTGAATTATAAATTGTAAGAGAAATTACATTCGAATATAAATATAGTGTTTTTCTATCACATATATTTTTATATAGAGAAATCTGTATACTTTGTCAAAACTACTAAAATACAATTTTAGCAGCAAACAAAGGTACTATATATTCTCTTGTTTCAAATGTCTCTGTAAATTTACTTCGAATGACATCAAATTTTCCCTTAAGCTATTGTTCAGAGATATAGGGAAGATTGGAATTTTCATAAAGCTGTAAAAAAATACAGTGGAATACATAAGGTGACCACAATTTTTTCTTCAAGGAGAACTTTATAATATGATAAATTATGTGCGTATATGAACCAAAGAATGTTGAGTTTCGAATGTCAACTTCTTAATGGTCAATCATAATCTGCAGAAAAACTTGACCAGCAGAGATTACAGCTGTTTTCATTGCATCTGACAGCCCTGTTCTTCTGCTTTGAGATATACAAGTCCACGCCTTATCCTCTGCACGTCAATACCAAATAATAGCCATTAAAATACACAAGATCATCGGCAAACAAGAAGTGGAAATCTACAAATTTCATTCAAGATGATGAGCTTAGAATGTTGTGTCCGCCATTGGTAATGTGGACCGCAGGGTTAAATGGTTAGTGTAATCGAAAGCCGAAGAAAGAAGGTCTAGAACAGTTATATGATTCAGCAAGGTATTGGACTTGCTATTAAGGGGATAGATTGAGCTTTTTCATTAAAACTTGTTTGTCATTCGTAAAGGGAGTTCTGGTACCTCACTTGTATCTGTCATTTGTAAAAGTTCTAATCTTTCCAGGGGCCTCCGATTTGAGAGGGTAGCAAGCTGCAGCCGTAAGAGATTACAATCAGTTTACAGATTGTGAAAGTTCAAGAATAAATTTGATGAGATAGTTGATGGAAAAGCTACCCAGAAGCTAAACCGTTCAGGATCTCGTGATGAGGGCATCATTGCTTCCACGTTAAGAAGTTTATCATGTCTTCTGGGATCTGTCAAAAATCCTGTTACTGGCCAATTTGTATTGCATGAAAGTGTGTGAAGGGAGAAAAAAGGAGATTAGAATCATTCTAGTCGTTTATTTTGGCATGTGAGAAGGCAAGGGAAAGACTGCTGAATTAAACAAGAATGCGTTTCTTCAAAAGAAATCCAAATGCAACAATGAAGGTGGAAATTTTTTGATAGCGTCACAAAAATAAGCTAAGGCAATTCACAAGCACAAAATGCAATATCCTGAGATAAACAAACCGAAATTTTTTCATTTTCATAATCGGGAGAAGTGGCCAAAACCCAAGTTTTTCAAACAAGTTTTAACCACTATCGAAGCCATAAATATCACGTTCAGGCAGCAATAAATCAAGAACAATTAGAAATTTCACAGAGGACGAGATTAATTCGGAGCAGACCTAGAGAAAATAAGATTACTTTCAATATTGACTAGTACATGAGATGTCTAGTAGGAAACAAATGGAAAATGATATTCTAAATAATTAAATTGTGTGACTTGATCATGTTAATATTATATTATTTATACAGTACATAAATTAGTGTTCCTAGTGCTAAAATAACTGGTTCGGCTTGCTTCTCCCCCTACTTTTAGCATTCCGGGCCTCTGAAAAAGCTATATGAACACATATTTGTAATGGGGCTGTCAATGTGTTGTGTCAGTTTGGGACAACTTTTTTAGGAGTCTTTTGGTGTTCAATTGGATTGTAGCAGATCATGACGGGCTATAATGAAGGAGATTTTATACCATACTCCCTTTCGAGATTAGAAGAGCTCTTTGACATGCAGTTTTCTTTTTAATCTTATGGAATATCTGGCTTGAGAGAAATAGGAGTATTTTTTGAGATGGGAGAGTTCCTTTTTTTTATAAGAAACTTGTGGAGAGTTCTTGGGAGGAAGTTTGGGCCTCAGCCCTCAGTTAGGTTCAATGTCTCTCTTTAGATTTTTGTTATTAAGATTTTTGTGGTTACCCTTTGCTTCTCACTATTGCTCTTAGCTCCTTTTATCTCTGGCTTCCATGTTTTCTAATTCCCTTATGTATTAATTTCTTTCATTTCTTTTCAATGAAAGTTTGGTTCATTTAATTTATTTTCAAAATTAAAAAATTAAAATATTCTTGGTCTTCATTTTTTTGGATTCCCACCGTATCCTCATTTATGAAAGACCTAGGGGTAAGATTTAGTCACTAAGGGGCTGAGACAAGGGACCCTATTTCTCCTTTTCTCTTTATTATAGTAGTAGAAATCCTTAGTAGGTTGCTCACTACCGGAGTGACGGGATGTGTCTATGGTTTCCTTTTGGGGAGGTGAATTATTTTGCTCAGGGGAGGAAAATCCTTTGTTAATTAGAACCGTTTGTTGTYCTTTTTTTAAGGCCAATTCAAATCTTAAGATCAATTAAGGGAGGAGCTCTCTGTATTTATTGTGATTTCTCTAAGCTGAACCACTTGGGTAGGGTGCAGTCATGATTCAAAAGGGGTGTTTTTTTGGGGTCTGATCTTGGAAAATATTAAAAAACGTCTTTCTTCTTGAAAAAACCAAATGAGAGAGACTTAATCTTATTCATGCAGGTTTAAGCGGTATTCCTACCTATTTTCTTTCCCTGTTCAGAGTTCTAGTTTCAGTTAGTTTGGAAAAGATTATGTGGAACATTGTTGTGAGTAGGTACGGGTCTCACCCCTCTTTGATATGAAGTTGCATTCTGTGGCTTCGGTTTCTTCGGATTCTACCAGTACTTCATCCATTTCTTTGGGGGTTTTTTGTCCTTTGACAGATAGAGAGACTTTGTAAGTGTCAGCCTTATTGTTGTTGCTGAGGACTTCCGCATTAGCCAAGGGAGGAGAATATTCGTGTTTGGTCTTGTAGTACGTTAGCTCATTTTTCCATCTTTTATGTGTCCCCCATCCTCCCCTAGCTCCTCTTTGTTCTCCCCACTATGGAGGGTTAAAGTTCCAAAGAAGATTAAATTCTTTGCCCAAGGCTATGCCTAAAAAGGTAAAAACTTTGGACTGTATTCAGAGGCACTCTGTCTCCCTTTTGTTTGAGGCCACGGGGGTGTGACCTTTGCAGAAATGCGCCGAAGGACCTTGAGCACATCCTTTGAAGCTGCCATTTTGCCAGTCGATTTGGGTGCATTTTTTTAATGCTTTGGTGGTTACGTTAGCGATCGATTGTCAGGAGATGGTAGAGGAAGTGTTTTATCCTCCCTTCAGGATTAAAGGAAATGTTATTTTGCAATCCTATTTCTTCTCTATTTAGTGGAGTATTTGGGTGGTGAGAAATAATAGAGTTTTTAGAGAGCCTGAGAGGTTGTGGGTGGAGATTCGGGACATCACTAAATTTAATACCTCTTTGGGCTTTGGTTTCTAAGGTCTTGTGTAATTGTAAGTTAGGTAGGTGTAATTCTTTTGGATCGGAGCCCTTTTCTGTAGATGTGGGTTCCTCTTCGATGTTTTTGTTTACGGTTTACTCCTTTTTTTATACTCTGGTGCATTCTTTCATTTCTTACAAAAGCCAGATTTCTTATAAATGAGAAAATGCAAAGGCATAAAAACTAACATTGTAGCACAACACAAATACAAAAGTCAGATTTGTTTTTTTAATCACGATATCATTTCACTTACCTCGTCTAGATGCTTCTTTTGCCCTCCTTATCCATGACCTAGCGTAATCTGCTGCATTATTTGTCATCTCCTGCAACTGTGAACAGGCATACAAATATAGAACTTCACAAGAGAGAAATCAACAAAAGAAGGGCAAGGCGATTTTACTAAATTCCTGTCACAAGAAGCCAAAATCTCTAACACTTACAAACATGTTACTAAAAGACGTATATAAGCATAAAACCTTATGCACCAAACATACTTACTTTGACCATAAAAAGTAAATTAATTGTACTTTATAACATTTCCCAAAAGCTTAGCCTCTCAAAAGCCAGATTCATGCCAGATAAATTAGTATTGGTTAACAAATTGCCACCTGCTAGTTATGGAATATTAAGAGCCTAGAAATAGAGCAACAATTTCTTTTTCTTTTTGATATCCATGAGTATCTGGGACCAGCTTGCACGCTTCTCGACTAATCTAACGGAACACTAACCCTGCTATATTTAGTTGCCGAGAAAACTCGTAACTCGTAAGATATTCTATTCTAGATAGGTGGCCACCATGGTTAGAACTCATTCCCTCCAAATCTTTTACTATTTATATTTAGCCCTTACCCCTTATTGATCATTAGGACAATAAGTTCTACATTTGGCTTCTCTTTAAATAAAATGTATTTGAAGCAAAATGAAACACAAAAAGCAAATAGAAAGCTAAATTACTTCTGCCAGTTCTCTTGTCCCTTCTGGGGGAATTACATCACTGACCCATTCGATCTCTGCCACTCGATACCTGAATGAAACATTAAAAGAAAATAAACCCATCTTACTAAAACCATAAAACTTCCATAACTCCTTTGGCTTTTGTAGCTTCTAGATAGTATATTTTATTTTTCCGATGAAACACAATTTCTTCTTTTGGGGGATAAAAAAAGAATAAGAAGCATATCAGAAAAAACATTTCCAGCATGAGCAGAACATCAAAGTGATGCAAGCTAACCCATCTTGGTCCCAAGATCTAATAATGCGAAATCTTCGACGACTTTCAATCTGCATAAGTTTTTACAAGTAAATGTACTATAAGAATGGGAAAACACAACCACAACAATAGTATTCTAAGAACATGTATGCTTCTTTACGAGGCAATCAACAGCAAGAAATTATAACTTGAAATTGTAGCGTCCTTTACTTTTCAGGGTGAATATCTTGAATTATTTGCTTCATCCAAATTGTGCACATCTATATTACATGGAGGGTGTTATTACGATAAATGTGGCCCTATGAAAGAGTGAGTAAACAATGTCATTGTCAGGTATGTCCCTTGACACAAATAGACGAATCACGAGTTCCATACAGATTACTTCTCAATACAATTTCTTTCAATAGAAGATTTGAGCGGAAAAAATGGTGGATAATCCAGCCAAGTCCTGATGGCATGACTTCTAAATGGGGTGAATGTTGTAAAGGATGAGAAACCGTAGTCAACACGTTATAAGATTTCTACTACTCAGTAATCAATCACAAAGCCTCATTAATCTCGACTATCCATATCAAAGTGACTCAGTACAATTAAATTATATCATTCACATACGTAGAAGAAAAATGTGCAAGTTACTTGGAGCATTGAAGGAAAGTTTTGTGGTTTACGGCATATTCCACCACAACAAATCAAAAATAAATATTTTTTTGATAGGAAATCAAAAATAAATATTTAACTTACAGAAATAGCTGTCATTAATATTAAAAAGAGATGTCTAATACACCATATTGGTTCAAGCCACCAAGGTTTCCAAAAACTAATAAAAACTAATATATTACAACAGATGCCTAACCTCTAGATAGAAACGTCCGTCTGGAAGTGGCTCACACCTAATAAGGAAAAAAAAAGTCAATATGTGATGCTTTCTTTCAATTAAAGGATATGAGGAGCCAAAGTATGGCTGACACCTACTCGGTAATTTCCACTTCACATGCAAAATCAGCAACAGAACCAGTGGTAGAATCCACAATAACCTAGATGACAGACATGCCACAAAAGTAACAATGAAGACTTTAATAAATTCATCCTGCATTAAGGGAAAGGGAAGATTGGGAAAGATAAAAAAAAATATACTATTAGTTACAACATCTACCATTCCCATACGATGATTTCCTTCCATTACCCTCCTGACCTGTTATTCAAATTAACGGAATTAGCATAAATAATTCAATAGGATAAGGTATAAACATCTGGCATCTGCTTGATTACTTATTTAAAGGAAAACCGAAAAAGAAAAAAAAAAAGATAAGTTCTATGGACACAGAGAGACACTTTTTATAGGAAAGTAAACTTTCACTAGAGAAAAAGCGTGAATCCAAGACTTTCATCAGAGAAAGAGAGAGTAGAATATGTAAAGGCAGTAAAATTACATAGGTCTAATTTAAGAATCGTGCATCAGGGATTCAGGATCATCACAAGAAATAAATTTACATGGCATGTTTCAGGATAAAAAAAAGACAAAAGAAGTACATTCACAACACGAGGCTTATTCATGTATCCTACAAACACAAATACAGAGACAGCAATTGAACCCTGAAGGATAAAGACTACACGCATAGAAAAGAACTTTATGATGTTCATAATCTTACATACAAACTCAAATGTTCAAGCAGTGACCATGAAAAATATTTGCTTGAACTTGCACTACCAAAACAGCTTACTAATTAACAAAGCATTTTGGCACATATTGTTCTTGAAGGCTCGGGGAGAAATTTTAAGCAGGCAACGTGCTAACTAAGATATCCAAAAATAAAAATCCTCAACCAACTCACCATAAGTCTGTAGCGGGGTTCAAATATGTGGAGTGGAAATTTCTGACAGGGGATAACAACATCCATGACAAAAAGAGGCATTAAATCGACACCTAAATTTGTCAAACCATCATTTTCTGACTTCCTTTCAGCATACTCCTCTGGGAAGTTCTTTTGTATAATGTTGCTCAGTGTAACACTGGTAAAAATCAACTGAATGTCATGCAAAAAAGAAAAATCAACCGAACTAGATAACAAATTATACCATAATGTTTTGACTTAAACATAATAGTTTTTATTCTTCACCACACTAATCTTCACACGGAATCATTACAAACAAGAAACATACACTTGCATGTATATAAAGGCTGCAGCCTGCATTTATACATTGAGCCTAGTGATCTTTTCGTGCTTTAACCGATTCCCAATAACAAGCAGGTTTATTTATTGATTTGCATGCTTTAACCACTCTCTCCATAATTAAAGCGCACATTTTATGGGTAGAAAGCAACCAAGTATGGATGCCACTTGGACTGCATCATCATGCCATAATTACTACTACATAAGCAGCTTACCTGATTGCACATGTTCTCGAACTGATAAAGAGAACTGTTCGGCACAGGGGACATTTATTACCTACAATTTCAATACAAGGTTCAGAAAGTTAAGAAAGACGACTCTAAGTTCTTACCTCCCCCCACCAAAAAAAAAATAGAGAGAGAGAGAAAATGACAATTCTAAGTTTCCATTGAAATTGGAGAAAGAACAAAACAACCGACCACGATCCATGGACTGAAATAAGCAAGAACGGCAAAAGGAATGCCCACAAGGAGTTGTGATGGGTTCATAAAGAAGCTTAAGACAAAGGGTGCAATCAAAGTCGTCAGTACGATCTGGTAGCCCTTGGCGTCCCCTTCCCATCATACTCACAGCTATTCTCTCCAACGTCTGAAGAGAAGCCTGAAGAGGATTGCTACATATTACAAAAAACAAACGGGAAAAAAATTTCACAAAAAGGACATTCAATAAATGACATGCGTTTCTATATCAAAATAAGTATATATTACCTTAGAGGGTCAATTTGAAGGCCAGAAAGAATAATATCCTTTGCCATGTCATATTTTTCAAGCTGCATAAATAAAACGAAATTTTAAAAGATAATAATAATGAGCTAAAGATAAGATCCACTGTGGCTAATCTTTTCTCATTTTTTTTGGGTTGGGAAATTGACCATTGCCTCAGAACATGCATATGAAAAACTTGATTAAAATAAGAAGCATCTGAACTCATAAAGAGTGAGTGTCTTCTATTCAAGGAGTCAAAATGTTGACGAAAATATAAAGGTTTTGAATCTATGGAGATGCATATAGAAATTTTGAGGAATTGATTAATGAAACTTTAGCAGTTATTTAAGTAATTATTGAAACGTCACTTTTAATACTTATGTCAGTAATATAAGATCGAATCAATCTAGAGTGACACAAATTAGAAAGACAGATCGCATGATGAAATCAAGGAGAGAGAAACAAAAATAAGAAGAAAAGGGGGTGGAAGGAAGATAGAGAGATTAGATACATACATACTGACACATGCACACGCACACATGGAGGAGAGAGAGAGAGAGAGAGCAAATGAGAGAATTTAGCGTAAAAACCAAAATAAATTTGTATGGTAGAGTCGTAGACAGAGATTTTGGACGAAAAGTATATTAATTCACTATTTTGAGACTTAAATTTGAGTGAGTTCCACTTGTAACAAAATTCATGAAAGAGACTGAAAATGCAAGCACGCAACATACGAACAGAAAAGTTGTCAAATTTGAGTTGGTCTAATAGCAGTTGAGTTTTTCCCCATTTTATTTCCGTTTCAGCATTTTACATTCCTTTTCGAAATATTTTTCTTTATTATCTTTTAATGGTTATTTTTTTCAATTTATTTATCACCATGGTGACATTTCGACACTGTGTCAAAATTTATAGTGTCCTTTGACATTCTCGACATTTACGGGAAATTTCCATGACAATCCAGAAAAAACTTATTGCCCCTCCTATTGAATTTGATCACCATGATTTACAGAAGTATTGATACGTCAATTGGAAATCTTCCCGAATTGTTTTTGTTTAAGAGGCAGGTAAATCCCTTTTTTTTTTTAGGGTTTCAAATAATAAGCTATTCTTACGAGAATGAGAGCATTGGCCTTCAGAATATATGGTTTCACTGATTTACTGCATAGGTCCATCAGCTTCTCAGCATCTTTTAGAGCCAGCTGAAATATCATTGAAGAGTTAACAAAGTAAGCAATGTAATTCAAAAGGAAATACTCCCCATAAAGTATAAAAGTAAATGAATGAAAGCAGTTCGAAAGTAGAAATACTTCAGCATGTATTGTAGGATCCAACCCATTCAAAGGTCGATATTCAGAAGCAGATGGTGGTCTGTCTTTCAGATATTGACTAACCCTGTTGTTGGCATCAGAGTTAAAATGAACAAATAGTATTGAATGAGAGAAAGATAAAAGTACATCCTCTACATAAGCTTAACTATTAAAAAACAAATAAACCTGATATAAGCAGCACTTCTATTGTTGAGAATAACTGGATCACCTGGTTTGATGTTATTAGCTCTCGAGTAATATTTGATCGCCTGAACCAATACACAACCTTATTTTATTTTCAGGTTCTGAGAAAAAAACTGACAGAGTGATATAAATGATGATAAAATGCCCAGCTTAATGGCATGGAGCTAATATGTGGAACTTGCTAGTTTAATGCATGCTCTGATAGTATGAAGACTTATAGACAGCATGAAGCGAAAAATTTCACCTCTTCAAAGTGACTATCTCTAAATGCTTGATTCCCTTTTTGCACAAATTCAAAAACATGACTAAACATGTCCCATGGCAATGAGCCCTCTCCTTCATTGGCCTGCACTAAAATTGAATCGCCAATCACATTCCAAGACATGTATTAAATCATCAACATAAAAGAATTGACGTTCTCCTTCCTTTATCATCTCCAAAAAGTAAAAATAAAAAATAAAAAATTCATATATATATGTATATATTATTGATCATTCACTCAGCAGCCGGCCAAAATGCGGTCTTCCTTGATGGAAAGTTGCAGGCATCAGCCAACACGAACTTGTTGAATCAAGTATGCTAGCCATATAAAACCCACGGTAGCTATTACATCTAAAATTTCGTACAAATATTAAATCAACAAATAGCAGATATTTGATTTCTTTCTAATGATGATCAAGAATCATTGTTGCCGTGACTGATATATTTCATATGATGTATCCTACGTTTTCATTTTTCACGTCGAAATCAAAACAAGTCCATGGTAAATTACTTTTCTATCTCAACTTTTTTTTCTCTTTTCCTTTACCCTTGATTTAGTGTCAACTAGACAGTAAAGGTTAGATGAATAATTTACTAAAGAAAACAAGGATTGAACTTCTTTACTACCCCTTTCCAAGTCAAGCTCAAGTTTATTCTTTTCCGATGCACTCTTCAGCACTTTGAACGAAACGATTGGATACTCAGAAGAAAGAAATGATTCGATTGGAGCCAGAGATGTTACTGGAGAATAAAGTAAGTTTAAAAAAATAAACTGAAGAGTAAGATTTCAGTTCAAATAATAAGATAATTGATCCAGCAAACAATAGAGAAATCCAGATAAAATCTTGAAATTCCCGTGTTCGGCTTCTCACTTGTTGAGCATTATACAATATGAAAACATATAAATGGTCCAGTTTTCACCTCAATTTCGCAGCAAACAGTAAAAGCTGCATGTGGCTCAAAACAAACCGGAAGACCTCGAGGTTCGAAGACTCGACGCCTCGTTCTTTCAACACATTTTATCAGAAAAACTAAAACAGTAGGCTGCGAAAAGAATAATAATCGAGAGAGAAAGAGAAAGAATGACCAACTGACCCAAATGTAGTCGTCGATGTCGCCGAGAGAATCCATGGGCAGACTCGACGAAGGCTCGGCCATAGCCAATGCAGAAACGGAATCCAACTCTTCTCTGAGACGAAATTCAACGCCCGAGAAGAAATTTGAAGCCAAATGATTGAAGAACTTTAAGAAGAAGTTGCAACGACCATCGTGTTCGTTCCTGTGTCCTTCGTCCACACACGGACCAAATTCTACTACGTGTTCTCTCTCTCTGCAAATGGTACGAATTTTGAAGGGCTGAAATCTTTTTGGTATTTTCTACTCTTTTTTTCTTTTCCTTAAAATCATAATTAAAAGATATAAATTCAGAGCTTCGTTTAGGTGTGCAAGTGTCTTGAATCGTTCAATCAGAGCCGTAGGATGAAATTTCCAATCTCATTTCACCAATCATACACCGGCAGATCTTAATTTGTGATGTACTTGAAAGATTCGAATAACTTTACGATGGCCAATTTTAGTTATAAATATATATAATATATATATGTATCTTTATTTATTTTTAAATTAAGTTCGAGATGTTATGAAACTTTATTTTTATTTATTCAACTGATTGATTGTGACATTATTATATAATAAAATAGCAACTATCGTCCAATGGAATTGGACATGTAATCCAAAACTTTATCATAAAAAAATTCATTAGCGTCATATTATCAGGTGGGATGACGCGGTAAATTTTTATGAAGGGCAGTAGATAATTGTAGCATAAACAAATAAATATTTTTATGAAAACATTGTAAAATTATTGTTTTAACCGTCGTCTCTAAAAAATTAATAAAAATTGTAAATATAGCATAACTTTGTACAATTTAGTTTGGTTTTTTTTTTCTTTTTAATATTTACCAAAAAGTTTAAATTTGTCAATAAATATAAAACTATAGGTAAATTATTGCCGCAAATGAGACCAATACTCAGTACTCTTGGTTATCAAGTTTTCACGACAAATAGTTTGACAAATAGTTTCAACTGCATGTTTCTCACGTCCAATCAATATTTATCTCATGGCATTCGAAATGACACTTAAACATTTTGTTTTTATTAAATGTAAATATAAACATAGTTTACAATCATAATTGATTTTTGTTTAATTTAAGAATTACGTATACATAATGTTTTGTTTTTTTTAAAGATATACATAATTATTGGAATATAGAGATTAAATTTATAAATTTGATATTGATTAAATCATGTTAAATAAAGGGAACATGATTGAATTTTGAACTATCAAAATGTAAATTTTAATTCAATTATTAAAATTCTCTGTCTTATTATTCTATGATAAGATCACACGTATGTATGCCATAAAATCATTTCATCGCTTAAAAATGACAGTAAAGACTAAACAACTAATTTTCTTTGACCCTTTATTAGACTAGATAAATTTGTAGTCAACATCAAAGAAAGTAAAATAAAAGAAAAAAGAGATGAAAGTAATAGTTTTTTTCCTTAATTTATTTATTTTGTCCGTACACTTCCAACTTCCAAGTCACCTACTTTTAATTGGAAAGAAATTTGAAGAACAACTTAAAAGATGTATTCACTCATGAAAAGACGGTTCCTTTCTTAATCTTCTTCTTCTTTTTCCTCTTTGCCGTGTGGCTAGATTCGTTGTCTGAATGGACAGCACAGAACTCGAACTCAAAATCTCGTAGTAAGTGATACCACAAACCTCAATGCTTTTGTCACTACCAGGGGACTCATTTCATCGACTTCCACATTATCTTATTTCTCAAGCATAGGTAAGATGAAGAAGATGAGAGATTTTGACCCAATTGAAAATTGTTAGTACATAAACAATTAAAAATCATTGGGTATACGTATATCTAGCCTCTGCATGTATAAAATAAGGCAACTGACGAATTAAGGTAATGGTTGTAAAATGACAGAGAAATAAAAAGAAAAGTGTTGTTTTGTTTGAAGAAAATATTGCGCTGCCGCCTAATATGCCTTCGACGGGAGAAGGTGTCAGCAGAAAAGGAAGGTGATGGGAAGACTAGACGGCAAGGGCAGCAGCTGATGTGGAGGAAGAAGCCACATCACTGATGCCGCCGAAACCTGCCCCTTGGGATTCTATCTCATCCACATTCTGCCAAACTGCTATTAATAACAATCCTATTGCCAATTGCCAATTCGGATCTATCAACTTTCCTCCATTGATGGATCCTTATCCTCAGCTCCTGGCTTTAACATTGAAAACAATACAAGCTTCTGCATTCTCTACTTTAAACTCTAGATTATTGTTTAGGACAATTTCCCAAGAGTCATGTTCTGCAAGATCCTGTGTAAAGCAAGCTCAAAACCAAATATTGGAACGCTGCTGCCGTTTTTGAGTGTGGGTGAGCATACATTATGTACTTTGGCAGATAATTCTGTGTTTGGAAGCTGGAAACAGTTGGGAGTTGAGGAGATTTGTGGTTGATCCAACCCTTGGCTCAAAAACGAAGTTTACTCTGACCCAAGTTATGATTTGGAGTGAACCTTACAAAAAACATACTTCTGTTTGAGCACGACAGGGGCTTTTGTTTGGTCGTTCCTGAGTTTTCTTGGATGCAGACATGAACACAATCCCAGCTCTTTTAGCTCAGTGACTGCAAGCATCTCTAGCTTATGCTTCAAATTTTGAAATATTTTACGTCAGATCTTAAGTCTTTTCACAAAAAGTCGAAGGAGATCCAGCAGTGCTATTTCCTGGTGTTTAAAACTTAGCCTACTTTGTAAGGATTCTCATGTAGGTAACAACCAAATCCTAGAGATACTGTTTTATTCAATGGAAGCTAAAGTTGGTTGCAAATTGATTATTGTGTTAACATAATACAGTTTTGCACCACGAGTCTACGATTTGGGTGGAATATGCCTCATCTGAAATCTTGGCCCACAAAACCACTTCCTGAATCAAAATTCTGCACCTACGAACTAGCTAAAGTTTACAGCCATATTAACCAAACTGGGTTAAACTTTGGTTACAGCCATATGGTCCTTTGTCTGGGTTAAACTTTGCAAAACCATATTGACATCTCAGTTTCCCAAGGTCAGAATTCAGAAATCATTGGGAAGACGAAAAATTCACATCCAGAATAGTTTTCCTACGATTCTATACATGTTGCTACATATCTTCACAACATTAACAGGTACTACTACTAAAAGAAATGAAACTCTCACAAAGTATCAGTCATTAGCACTTCAATTATCTAAACCATGTGATAGAGGAGTTTTCCCATTCTACTTGGGAATTAGAATAGTTCTGGTCTTGATTTGAATGCATAATATTGATATCAATATGATCAAGTCTAAATACATAGCAAGAATAGTAACGTTTCAACTCCTCAAAAGAAGATCAAATCCGAACGACAAGAAAGGAAGAAAGACAGACTTGGGTATGAACTGTTACCAGCCTTTATCTGCTATGAATTGAAGTATTACATCATCACCTACAGGTAATCGCACAAGGAAGTGATTGGCTCACTCATTTGGAGGTGCATTGCTTCGATGCACAGCGTGCCGCCGAATATCGTTTTGGTCAACCAACTCCAAGGGAGTGGCTGTCTCGTTCCTGAAGCGCTTGATTTTGGGGCTCAAAAGACCCCTATGGCGAAATCCATACAGGTTGAGCACCTGATTGTCAGCAAAATTAAAAGCTCTCTCCATGCTACTCAAACACCTTTCAACTGGATAATCTCCATAGCTACCACAAGGTTTGCAACCGACAAAATGCGTAACAAATGGCCACCTTTCATCACCTAATCCAGGGTGATATTTCTCAATCATTTCCTCGTACCTATCGACTAATCCAGCCCAATAACCATGCAAATAGTATGAATTCTCAAGAAACACCTTATCCATCCACTCTTTCTGAGAAAGCAATAAATATATCAAAGCTGACTGATCATCGGCCTCAAATGCTGGCCTTCCCTTCAAATACGCAGTCAAAATCTTCCCGGCCTCTTCCCGAACTGGACCCTTTGGTCCCATTGGAGCCCAAGCATCCAGCAAATCCAAAGACCATTGACAATTCCGAAACAAAAAGCTACCTGTGTTGAGGGCAATCCATGACTTCTGGTTGAACATCAAATCTGGGTACCCATGAACAACCAAATTATAATTATCATATTTCTCCAGAGGAATCTCAAACACCATATCAGTAAATAACGCATCGCTATCCATCCACCAAATCCACTCAACCTCAGGGTGCGACAACATCAATCGCCGAATCAGCGGCAACTTAGCCCAATACCCAGCAAGTTCCTTATCTAAATGAGCCAAATTATATACTATTTCAATCCCATGAAGCCTACAATAGTCAATCTTATTCTTGATTGCCTTCAACAAATAATGATCCCCAATTGCGTTATCGCAGGGTTTTGGAGGCGAACCAGTAACAAGCAAGATCCTAGCTTTTTTATTAATATAATTGGGAAATTCAGGGTTCTGATTGAGCCAAACCTTTCGCTCCTGATCCCAGTTCGCTATCTTCGGTCCGAGCGTGTACGTGACATTAGGGTTGATTTCGTTTTCGACGAGATCATCCGGGTCGTTGGGGTCGCTGTCAGATCGAATCTCAGCGAGGATCCGGTTGGTTTCTTCGATGATATTTTGGTTAACAGCATCCGCCTCGGAGCTACCAAGGTTGCCGATGCCGATGGTGCCACGAAGAACAAGGATGGTGACGAATCCACAGAGTATGGTGATCTTGATATTGTTGAAAGTCTTCTGGATCTGACGGCGACGGGGAATTCCAGGGAAGGCACGGCTTCTCGTGCCGTTTGCGATGGCAGCGGTGGTGGGTAAACTATTCCCTTCTCTACCAGTTCTCTTCTGAGTCGAGATATTCTCTAGCCCCATGTTTCTTCACCCTCCTCTCTACAAATTTTGCACACCCTCGCCCGAAGAACACTTGTTTGCATAAAGATCTAGCTAAAATCCTCTTCTCTCTGTCCTCTTACGACGATTCGGAGCTATGGGTCATGAGGGAAATGGGGAATTTCCCTCTATCCAAGAGCTCTCTCCACTTCTCTCCCCCACCTTCAATTTGAATGAATTGAGCAAGATCGGAAATCGAAGAGATGGAGCAGAAAATGGGAAGCAAATATAAAGAGAAACGATCATGAAGAGGGTTTTAGGAGAAGAACAGAGCAGTAGATGGGGGCCAATTTCATGGTGGCGATAGCTGAGGAACAGCTAAGAAAGGAAGAAGAGGCGAAAGGGGTCTCAGAGCAATTAGCACCGACTGTGGGAATTGAAGGCTTTTCTTTGAATGATTCAATTTTTAAATGTTATTTTAAAAGTTAAAAAAGAGAAAACAATTCATATTTGATGGATTTTATGTAACTATAAATATAATATGCATTTGTCTGATCTCTGATTGGATCCATTGTTTCGTGATAATTATTGGGTTTTTTTATATATAATTTATTTGTAATTTTCTTATGTTCTGTCAAATGGCGATAGTAGGATGTATCTTAGGACATTTGGACGCCACTCTAGAATTTTTATTTAATTATTTTTCTTTGTCTTTTTCGTTTCAAATAATTATTTTTAGTTCCTCCACTTTTCTTTTTCTTTTTCCTCCTTAAAATATTTTTTCTAATTAGGAAAAACTTTGGTAGATTTGGGTGGGCGCATACTAAAAATTGTATGATGCAAAGATTTTAAAGGAAAAATGTTAAAATGTAATATGGAAATGTGAAAGAATGAAGTTGAAATACCCAAAAATTGAAAAAAAAATTAAAATTAAATTCTATTATTATTATTAGTAGTACAATTCTATTATTCTTAAATTGATGAATGATTCCAATATTGTTCTTTTAGGATAATATTTTTCTTTTTGAGATTTGGACGTGTAGAAAAATATTACTAATGTCTAGTTTAATTAAACTGTCTAAATCGTGACAAAGATTATTGACGTGTTCTTTTATTCCTCAATTTTAATTTTAATTTTTTTTTCTTGAGTACATGATTCTCAATTTTAATTAAAGGCAAATAAAACAATGGTCAATTGAAGGACATCAGACAAACAGTTACATCAGTGCAACATGGATGTCATGCTCTGCTACATATTCTCCAAACTACAGTGTCCACGAGTGAATTTCATGATTTGTTTTCCACATGTGGAGGCTTCTCTTGAAATTAAAATTTTTCAATTTATCATCCAAATTTGTTGATGTCTTAAACTGATTTGCATTAAAAAGAGTACATCATGTATATATATATTTCACGGTATGATTAAATCACTACATAGGTCTTGAATAAGTAGGCCTATTAAATGATTTGATTTGACTCAGTTTTAACTTTCATAAAACCAAAAAGACTAATTTTTATTTTGGAACATTAATTTAGGGACACTTGCATACATGTCAAAATAAGTTTAATTAATTGCACTCCACCCACCCACTAAAAGGAATACTAAAATGGCTTTGAAACTCATGTAATTTCATTTCTTCCTCTCACGATGTTCTACGTTTTTACTAACAAGCGCTAATAGAAGTCTATCTATCACGGATAGACATCTAATAGTGTCTATCAAACGTCTTGATATTCATGATAGACATCTATTGTCATATTTGCAAAATCATATTCTTGTTGCTATATTTATAAATGTGGCAATGTGACTGTGAATTGCCACCCAAAATTTAAGATAGTGAGTCAGACAAACATTCAAAAAAGTTATTTCAAAGACAGATTCTTACTTTTCTTTCCCTTAGCTTTTGGTCGGTCAGTTGCAGCAGCTTGGTTCTGCTTCTCAGCACCATTGACTTCTTCAAGAATTTTGCTGTCAGTCTTTCTGGTTGGAAGCCAAACCTTCGTGATTGAAGGATCCAAAACCTCCCTTGAGCAGCGAAGCTTCAGACCCATAGCCATGGCCTCCTCCCACAGTTGCCTGCCCATTTCAAAATCACCTCCTCTGCACAACTTCGGTATTAGCACATCATAAACTGGACCATAACCCCCCAATGAGCTTCTCTTCATTTTATCCAACATCTCAAGCGCATAGTTTACTCTCTCAACTCCACATAGAATACCAATCAAATCGTAGTAAAATTTTYGATCCGGGATCAATCCCTCGTCAATCATCTCATCCACAATCCTGCGCCCTTTCCCAAATCTTCCAGTCAGGAACAACACTCTTGCCACAAGATAATAGCTGACCCAATCAGCTCGACAACCAGATCGTTTCATCGTCTCGAGGATTCTACACGATTCCTTCACTCTCCTAGTCCTACCAAGACAAGATAACAATATATTATAACTGATTGAGTTTGGGGAGATTTTGTAGGATCTCATTTCCATCATCACATTCAAAGCTTCAGGCACAAGACCTGAAGGATTCTTCTTAAGATTCTGCTCACAGAGGCACCTGAGGAAAGTGTTGTAGCAGAACAAATCTGGCATGGCTCCATCCGACTTCATTTCTTTAAGTATCCTTCTTGCTTCCTTTGCGTTATTCTGAACATACCATCCATATAGGAGGCTTCTATAGATGCAACTCTTGCTGCCAGAGATCTTGTCTCTGTGGTGCAAAACAACCCCTTCTGCTCTCTTGGCATGCCCTTTTGCACAGAGAGCAGTAACAATTGCAGTGACAGTGAACTGGTCTTGGGGGCACTTGTACTTGTCCAAGTTCTTGAAAAGGCCCAGTGCTTCATCTTCCCTATCCAGTTTCACTAAAGCCTCAGCCACAAGACCGAAGGTCTCGCCCTCCATTGCCCGGCCAGCTTTCTTAAGATCRGAAAGTAAAATATCAATGGCGTTGTAGTCCTTCTTCTGAGCAAATAAGCGGATGGCATGATTGAAATCTTCATCTTCCAAATCATGTTTCAAATTCTTGAGAGACCACAGGAAAAACCTGAGTAATCTTCTAGTGGGTGCTTCGTTTTTGCAAGAATCAATGACCTGGGTGACAAGTGGAGATGTCAAGGATACTGTACATTTGTTCAGACTGGATTCTAATTCATCTAGGCCACCGATCGAGCAGGAAACCACTTTACACAAATCCACCACAGAAGCTGCATTAGTTACGGTGGAATGAAGGGAGCAGAAGCGAAGGTCCGTGCTGATAGATTGCGTAATGAAGCTCTGCCATTTTAACTTCAACGCGGAGACGCATCTTCTCAGCGGAATTTCATCGAACATATGGCGTGCATTCATTGTTATATACAGAGTTCACATTACTAACAGAAGAGGTGTTTATCGCGACTCTCCTTGGTATCTTGCTTTTACACGCTGCTTCTGAATTCAAGTTCCTCTAGGTGAAAGACGTGGAAATTAAGGAAAAAAACAAATGCGTCAAGAGGCTATGGCTTGTTGTTCCGATAGTTGTTAAAAGATCGGGGAACAACGACTTGACTCCTCGTAAACACTGGAAATTTATATGCGACGGTTCTATGGCGAATGCATACCTTAATTTCTTCGACTTATGCTCAGTAGATGAACACCCCATTCTCAGATCGATCGCCGATGCGATCACCAAACTCTACGAACCATAGTCATTGAACTGTAAATATAACCCGAGATTACGCTCCTTCGATAGTTTTACAATTTGGTCTGAGTGGATTGTTACGATCTCGAAATGAAAGTCACATTCGTTGAGTTTCGTCTGTTGCTCCATTTGTCCCAAACCTCTTCCATCGACACCCGGAGATGGAGGAAGACGAAGAAATACCCGCCATTTGTGTAATTGTTTGAAGCTTTCAAGCAGATTATGGAGCTGATTTTCATATGATATGACTTATTTGGAGCGCCATAAAAAGATATCAAAGAAATTTTCACCTCCTTCCAAAAAGCTCTGAACAATGGTGTGACATAAATAAGGAAAATAGCTACTCAAAATTTAAGGGGCAGGGCAAAAATTATTTAATTATAAAATTTAGCAAGTGTTTGTCTTTGAAGAACATTTCTACAAGTGTCAGAAAATTGTCCAGAAAAGTAGTAAGCCTACACTGTTCATAGAAGTATGAACAAGTTGATTGGAAACACAAATAACTGAATGATATTTAGAACAATTAGCAGTTTGTAATCTTGATGCAAGTCTCCCGTTAAGAAGCACAGACACGGATACGCTGGATATACGTTTTTTCTTCTTTTTTTTTTTAAGATATATGTAAATTTAACATAAAAATGCTAAATTGTATTCCGATGATCTTGGCTTTGGCTTTACCGTTGTTCTACTCTAGAAATATATCAACTCTAGAAATATATCTCTTAGATCGTTTCATCATCGACATCATCACCCATAGAAGAAGGTTGCCCATTGAGATCCACATTTACACCGTTTACCTTCCTCACAAATTGTCCTCGCACACGAGGCCTCTTCTCAGCTAGTTGTTTACGGTTTATGTATCTAATTTTCTTGTTGAAACATCGCTCTTGCCTCTTTTGTCTAAATTTCATCAAAGCTGCCTCTCTTCTATCAACTTTACTCAGTTTTACTTCAGTGGAGGATGAACTTCCAAATGATGGCCATGGATGGGAACTAGGCATTGGACCAGGTTGTAAACACATATTATGAGGATAATATGGAAACTGGGGAATCCCTGCCATCCCAGATGCAAGAGCAAAATGATGAAGATGATTGTACTGTGGCATCGTTGCTGCAGTCACATGAGTTTGCACATGATGCGGATTATTATGGTACAATTCTGCTGACTGCGGAATTAGAGCTTGATTCATGACTCCAGGCAGATAAAAGGGATAATTAGTTTGAGCCTGTAATGCAGCAACATCGGGTCGAGACTCGTCTCTTGGATGCTCAAGCACCTGAGATAGCTTTTCTTCACCATGACTCATTTGTTGAGGAAATTGGAATGAATGAGGATTGCTAGACATCTCCACAGACCGAGAATCGGGAACACTAGTACTACTTTGAAAGTCATCTCCTTGCGAATGACTTGTACAGGCATTTCCAGTTTCACAACGGTCAACAGATACTTGTCGATCATCTTCGGTTGATACATAGTTCTCTTCCCTTCTCAATTGTTGAGCAGGTGCTAGAAAGTTGCCTTTTAGCGCGTTAGATTTGCAATATGTAAAGAAGGCGGAGGACTCGCCGATTTTCAGTTCACACTTTCTAGGACCTGAAAATAGTTGTGATCCATATTATTGCCTAAAAATATAAATAAACCACAAAAGAGTGTTGGTAGATGAACAGCCTGCTAACCATCTTGGTTTCCACTGATAGATTGCACATTAGACTGAATTTGCAGTGAATCAGCAGCAGAAGGCTCCATGGCGGTGGCGGCAGCAGCAACAGCAGACTACAATGAAAATATGGAACCTCATAAAGTTGATTCATTTGACACTTATAACAGAAAGTCTAGCTCCAGGCCTCCAAAATGCCTAAATATGATGCAATTTACATTGAAATACAGAAATCATTTAACATAATCTAGAGAATTCATAAGGACTATAAAACTAGAAAGAACTTCAGAGGTTTGTGGAACAATAGAGAATTTATGAGGTTCATGCTAGCACATATGATATGAAGACTTAATACGAAGATTATGATACTGACCACATCTTTCTGATGGGGCATATCCAAGTCTGGATTGGCGCTCCTATTTGTATTATCATCAGTGTCATCTGAGAGAAAAGTAGTACTATTTGTATTGCGGTCACTAAGGTCTGAGGTCGCCAAATCAAAGTCGAAATTCAAAATTTGCTTCTCCACCAATCCAAGCTGTCAACAAAGAAGAACAAAATTGCAAAATAAAAGTTGATTAGGCTTTTAACGAGTCCTTGAAGGAAGAGAAAAATGGAGTGATATTAGGCAGTGCCCATAGACTCATTTTGATATGAAAGAAAGTTAAAATATCTATTCTTCAGAGCAAGCGAAGACAGTCAAGTTCAAAGCCGTGAATACAGATGCTAATAGTAATAACAACAACAATAGATTCATCTTCTGAGCCTTCGACAGTGATCGTTGGTTAACTTCCATATTCATTTAAATTACAGSTTACCCTCATATAATAGTTAACTAAGAACTCAGATCCATGAGAACATATATTACAAGACAGTGCAATGGAAATGGTGAGAAAATAAAATAAGTTGCTGGAGACAAACCATACGCCGTCTCCTCCATATGTGAGTCCACAAGTTCAGTAGTTCATTTGTTCGTAAAGGCTTCACGAGATAATCTGCCGCTCCGAGCCTCAAGCACTTGACAACAACAGATACCTCATCTTGCGCTGACATCACTAAACAAATCAAAGCAAACCCAAATAAAGATCACATTCCATAAATAGGCTAACGATCTGGAATRGAACTATCAGCTGGTAGGTAACATGAGTCAGCACTGAGTCACTTACTGATCACAGGAATCCGCCGTAGCTCTTTATCCCGCGTGACATACTTGAGCATTTTCATGCCTTTGGCCATAGGTAAATCTACTTCAGTTAGAATGATATCTATATATGGCCCCTCAGCATTCAAAGCGTTGATCACCTGTCTAGCTGATCTCACTGAAATTACTGCAACAACAAAAGTTTGGTTCCACTTATATTAAACAGGGAAAAAAGTTAACCAAACTAATCATTGTAGTTATATCTATAATGGGGAAGAAACGAAATCCAGATCAAGAAAATGAAATTATGAAACCATACCCTGATATGAACATCGCAAAAGAAGTGTAAAAACCTCTTGTGAACTCTTGGAATCGCTGTCGCACAGCAGAATCCTCAGTTTGCTCCTATCTACAAATCCAGCTCCTCCACTCCTGCTACTTCCCCCAACCGCACAATCTTTGTTGCAATTGAGCTCTTTGCAATCCATCATTCACAACCCAGGCAACCAATCTCACTCTCAGAACTCCCACGTTCAAAACAGAATGACTCCGCTCCTCCAAACAACTAAAGCACGGATTTACATCCCAAAAAGTTCAATACTGGAGGATTCCCATTTTCCCCATTAGGGTTCCAAGTTCGCACCCCAAGGCTCCAACCCCTGGCGCTAGCAGAAACCAACTCGATCCCCCAAATACAGAAGCACAAAACTCCGCCGATATCAATCCCTTCCATCAACCGCAAGTCGATAGCACCAGATACCCCAATTTGAGATCAAGAAATACATATTTCACAGCCCAAGACGAGGAGAAACACAACCTTCAGCAGATTCCATGGCTGTATCCGGCATATCAGATGGTGGCGGAAAATGTTGTAGATGAAAAACGAGCGATCAAGTCAATCGCCGATGACCTTACCGCAAAAGCTCATAAAAACAACGAAATCAACCTCTCGTTCCTGAATTTGTCCTTGGTTATTTTCTCGCAACCGGATAGAGTTTGCAGCTAACGTGCGCCGAGGCAAGAGAATAGCCGGAAGGGGAAAAGAGTGGATGGTCTTACTCTCGGTCCATGATGTTGAGAAGCGCAGAGTAGCAGAGAGTCTGACGTGGAGGAAAGAGAAAAAAGTGCAGAGAAAATTTCACTACTATAAAATAACGGATAGTTTGGTGGAGATGGAAAAGAAGCCACGTCGACCACAGATCTTTCCCGACAGTGGAATGGAAGTGTGACGCGTTTCTGGTTTATACCACACAAATATTGAAATTAATTTTTATTTTAGAAATAAATACATTTATATCAAAGAGATATTACGAATAATTAAAATCCATGGTGGCAGTCCAGCTGGTATCCAGTCGTATATATCTGTTTACCTTTTTTGAAAAGGCGTATATTTTCGTTATTATTTATTATGTAGGCATCATCCGGTGTGAGATTTTTTTAGATATTATATCAGTATTATTTTATAATTTATTGAGTTTTTTTTTCTTCTTTTTTTTTTTCCAATTAATGAGAAGAGGTAGGCATGGTTGAGTTGACTTATTTATTTAAGGATTGTTTGAGATTTGATTGACCTCTATGCTCTTTTTCCTTTTAATTCTTATAATTATTTTCTTTCTTGTCCTCTTAAAAATAAAAATAAAATCACATTTGAAGTTTTATTATTAAACAAAATGTGACAATTGCGTACTCAAAGACGAGGTGGAATTGAGCTCTTTAGATTAAAGAGTCAATTTATATTTATTTTTCAATACAACGAGTGGGATATAAATTTGAATACACGATCTTTTGGGATCGAAGATAGATGACTTAATCAATTGAACTATGTTCATATGGACTATTATTTGATACATAAATTTCTATAAATTTGCTATTTTTACTTATTACAAATATCCAAATAGCATAAATAKCATAAATATTATCCACAGGTTATCCAATTCTAGATTTCCCAACTTTAGAGCCCATCATAAACGAAACGTTCTATGAGTAACGACAATATTACAAGGAATTAAAATGAAGTGTTGTATCCAATCAAACAATGGAGGCGTAGGAAAAAGGGGAGTTTTCTGAAAATAATGAAGGGATTTACTGGAAATGTGAATGTTAGTCAATGAACCAAGTAAAATATAACAGTAGAGCTGAGTTACTTCAATAACAGAACGACTTGATTTACCATTACTAGGAATGGAAGATCAACTTTTTTGCAACCAATCTAATGCCTGCACTCTGTTGATAGTCGTATGTATCCAAGGAAATGAATGCATCTAAGCTGCCTTCAGGGTTGATCAAGCTATCAAGCTCTGCAGCGTCGAATTTACTGAATATCAGCCTCTGTGCAGCGCCTGAAGGTTCTTTTTGGTACATCTCTGTACCATAAATGGCAGTATCCCCACATACTGCAGTTGGAATGCTGTGGAAAAACAGATTTAATATCCATTGGAAACTGACCAAGACGAGGAAATCTATGAACTTATACAGCAGAAGCATTGAATTGGTTGGCAGCAAAAGGGAACAGAAAGCAAGCAAGCATGCAGTGATGGAGATCATATATTTGGACTACTTTTTTCAGTTATTTTTCTCTCATTTGATAGTACAAATCTAAATCAAAATGTTTGCAGATGGGAGTGGTTTAAATGTCGAATGATCAGAGTGACTCACTGTATTCTCATTGTTGGGTAGTCGAAATAACCGTTCTTTCTCATCACGATGGGCCTCCACTGAGAGACGCTACCAGAATCTGAAGATAGTCTCTGAGCCACACCATCAGATGCTTCAAGAACCCCGCATAAACTTGGTGGTACATCAACCACAAAACTCAACCTTGGCCGGCCAGCTTGATCAGTGAATTTTGTACTTATGCCGAACCGAACTTTCAGATTATTACAAAGAAGCTGTAAACAGTTGTCACAGTGCGATAATTGTATTCTTTGGCTGCCACGAAAAAATGGAACGAAAGATGCAGTGATGGACGAAACAGACACCTGATCAGGCTCCAAGAATTCGGTAGCGCTGCTGAGACTTCTGGAAGCATCCTCCGGGGATGATGCCTCAGTAGATACTGAGGCATGTTCTTCCATGCTGATATCATTTTGGGGTGATTCAGGTGTYATTTCATCACTGAGAGTGTGCATATTAAAAGAATCTGATTCAGTTGCATCAGATTCAACCAGATCTGAGGCTCCATCCTCAGAGCTGAGAGTTACAAGAGATAATATAGGATGAGTTTCCCCTTGTTGATCTGTGAGAGATGTTGGATTGCCACCTATCCTTGAACTTGATGAGCGATTATTGTTCGAATTACTTCCCCATGGAGATGATTTTGCAGCACGGCGCCTCGTAACAGTGTTTGGAGAAACCCAACTGTTTTCTGGAAAAACCTCAGGTAGACTTGATTCCTGCAGCAAGACAACAGTTTTAACTCTAACCCACCTTACTTTTCTGATGTAAAATGGTCGATTTAAGAGCAAAGCTAATGTGACTAGGCTGAATCTGATGTAAGATTAAGTTAACTTCAAAAAAATAAAATGAAAGAAAAAACTACTACAAGAATGTCTCGAGATGGCAGGTAGGTTAAGTGGAGAAAAAGTATAGTAAATTGATGCATAAACTAACAAAGAAACATTTGGAACCTATTGATGATCCAAATTCAGCAGGAATCATGGTTATCATGGCATATACATCAAAGTGGTCAGTACTCAGATAATGCAACAAAGGGTTCATCGGAGTAGAAACATAGGAAGTGGTCTAAGCTACAAACAATGTATGAATTGAGTGACARTTGCAAGTTAAAATAATAAGATTAGTTATATTCCACATTTCAAGTTTATAAATTACCAGAAACAAGACAGTTGCACAATACTTGAGGACTTCAAGATTCATCCTGACATCATCCAAACTCCTGGAGAATTTACAGAGACAAAGTCAGAAAAATGGAAAATGCTCMTTGCTCTATGTTCAACAATAGTTAGCAAGTTCGTAGCTTGCCTGTGTGTTTGTTGTCCTATCCCAAAATATGTAGCAAGACTAGCCATCTAAAGAGAGAAAAGGAATGTCAAGATCAAATAGATAAAGAGTTGCCATACACTTTTACAACCCAAGACCACAAGTTAGAAACATGCATGAAGATCCATTATATCAAGCCAAGACAAACGTTACAGTTATAGGTATACGTATACTCCTATCTTGACGCAGTGCCAAAAGATAACACGGTTTATGTCTCGTATTTAGATAGGTAAATCCCAAAACTTCAATTACTTTTACAATTTCCTGCTTCAGTTATGAATGTTGAAAGCCCTTAACAATTTTGCTGAAGGCACCATCCTAAGGATACTAGTCTACAGGTTTTTCAGGTTCACCCAAATTTTGCAAAAACACAAGCAGAAACATTCCAATCATGCCACACGGCCACATAGAAAGAGTTCTATCATTACCTTCATGTCGCCAGCTCTCCTCCCAAACTTTTGAGTCAACAATGCCAATGAATCAATTGTACCTTTCGGCTCCGGTGCTGGCATACCAATTTCTGCAAAAGACTCCCTTATTCGTGCACAATCAAATCTCAGTATGTTATGGCCTGCCCATATCCGTCCTACAGAACAACATCGCAGCAGGAAACTCAAACGCAGCCACATAATAAACTAAAAACAGAAGCATGTACCGTAACAAAAGATCTTCTGAGAACAAGTTCAGACAAAAACACAATTCTGAGCCAAAGCCCTCGTTTTAACAGAAATCAGTGACTTTAATCAGTTCCTTCCGCTCATCAGAGGCAACCCAATACAAATTTCACATMAAATAATCCACACGAACAATTCGACTTCTGAGAGAGAGTACCGTGAAGGATATCGTAAACCCTATCAGCAATTTGGGCGAAATTGGGGGCAGAAAGGACAGCATCTCTAGTGATGCCATTGCATCGCACGGACAAGGAGGAGATTAGGGAGAGGTCAGAGGGGCGAACAAGGGTGGAATAACTCTCGAGCTCAACCAGCTTCCTAGGGCACACCAGGATTGCTCCAAACTCCAAAATGGAAAATTTCTGTCCTTGGCGGGTGGGAACCGTAGTCTCCACATCAAAGAAGGCAATCTCCGATCGGTCCTCCGTCGGGCCCATGATGAACATGAACAGAGAAGAGCGCGCAAGGGAAGACGGCGCCAAGAAGTGGTGGTATTATAACGATAACGACCGCCGTGATTTTGGGTTGCTTCCTGAACTTGACTTCCAACCAAATGGATCATCACCCTCGTTCTGATTCTGATTCTGAAGCTGGCCCATTTTCATTTTCCACATGACCTAAAGCTATTTTTGTCAATTTTCATTTAATTAAATTAAACCCTAAATTTAATATAAGTCGTGCAATTAATACTTCAAATTATGGGATTTTTTAACTTTTAAAAAAAAAATTAGACTGTTATTACTGTCCATTTGAATATAGCTTATATAACACTAACTCCCAAGTTTAAATTTTGATACCACCCCACACGCAATGAATTCACCCAAAAAAAAAAAAATGCTTGTTGTCTAAAATTCTCGTTACTACACAAAATTTTTGCTGTCAATTCACTCTTTTAATCACGTTATATGTTTTTTAGGTACATTTATTGAGTTAAAGCACTATTTTATTTGCTTAACTTTGTTGTTAGTTTTAGATATTGTACTCTTAATTAATTCAGTTCGAACATTATCATGACTATTATTGAGTCATTTAATAGTTGAATTGAGCTATCTCATCAGTTAGTTTATGAACGATTTTCTAGTCCAATTTCGAATACGTATTAATAGCTTTTGATCTTATTTACATTTACGTCCAATTCAATTAAATTAAAACATTTAAAGTTAAAATTAACCAACGCGACGCCAAAAAAAGAGATATATTTTTCTTCTAAGTAGTGTTATTCTAATTTCCACACTTTGATGGTATACGACAGGTATCTCATCCCAAACGTTCCATTGCAAGATTTTGTAAAGCCATTTCTTGAATTATAAGTTAAAGTTATGTGAAAATACAAACCCAAAAGTTGAAGGCAGATTTGAACAAGGCCCCTCCCCTCATTCTCACGTTTCCCTCTCTTATTATATATCAAGATTAAGGACAAACTCCAATTTATAATTGGGCTTATACATTGACACCACTCAAAAACATCTTCAAATCCAAGTTACAGTCCATCTCCATACACCTCACATCTTGAGATTATATGGAGAAAGAAATAAATAACCCGACAACGTCATATAACTAAAGCAGACAAACAACATAAAAAAAATCTATGAAAATAAATCCCAATCAGATCATATCTATCGTAGACATGATATCCCACACCGAGTAGTTGTAACGAGAGACTTCATAAATAATGAGATTAAGTTCTCTCCAAAATATATGATGTATAGATGTGACCAAGCAATCCTCCATACTTGTGTTGTTAGACGATTAGTTACTATACCTTCGGTAAAACTCGAAAGTGGAACAAGTAAACACCATCTTATCCAATTATTAGGAGGGGAAGAACATAGTAGAGTTCATTGGAGATGCGTATTCATGTTGATAATTGAAAGAGTCAATGCAGCCAACCGAAACACATTCTTGTTTTTCTCCGTCAGTGGTGAAACGAGGCCTTCTTTATCTCGAAACCCATCTTCGCAAGTCGAAGGAGCTTCCATGACAGAGCTCACCTTGACATTCGCGTCGACGTATTTCTTCTCTTTGTAACATCTTTTTGCCTCTTTAAGAATTGGAACAGCATCAGAATAAAGCTCCAAGCAATCATCCAAACGGGCCTTGACGAACTGATCCAATTTTTTGTTCCTCAAAAGCTTTCTGATGTCACGTCGAGTGCTTGTTATGTTGTGGCGCATCAAATCCATGGCGATGAGGCCAAGTTTGTGGAGATCTGCACAGCGGCTGCGATCATCAGATTCCAAAGATGCAACACAGAAGTTGTAGCTGAGATTTGGGGTACTGTCTGCAGATCTTTTGCATGTTTCTTGAATGATGTTACTTGTAGTTATTGTTGAACCATCTGAAAAGGAGAAAAAAAGAACAGCAAAGAAAGTGGTGAGAGAGAAAGTTGAAATCATAATTTTTGTTTGGCTGTAGTTAGAAAGAAGGATATGTATCTCTTTAATTTGTTGATCCTTAATTCCCACTTGGCTCATGAGCTTTTTATTTGTAATTTGGTGGAAGGGAGGGGTCCATGCTTGGATAGTTTCTAAGACTAGTTTTGGTTTGAAAGAATTTATTACGTATATGTAAAATTAATCAAACATGATTTCAAATGAGAATTCTTCACGTAAAAAACAAGAATTTTGCATGTATATGTTTAAAGGTGTGTTTTATGCTTAAGATACTTTTTATGAAAAAAAGTAAGAGTTTTACCCGAACAAGAAGACTTTGTGTGGTATACATAGAAGGTTATGTTTTATACATAAAACTTAGATCCTCTCTATCATCCAAGGTATATACATATATATATATATTTTTAGTACCACATGTGGAGGTGGGGGATCGAACTCACAATCTCTTGGTTAGAGATATATGTCAATTACCGTTTAGCTATGCCCGCTTTGGTTAAGGTATATATTTGAATTGCACATCGTTATTTGTGTAAAAATATACAAATTTATTCTATTCGATCTATTTTTTTAAATATTATAAGTTGCATTTCTTTAAAACTAAGTCAAATACTAAGCGATAGAATAAAAATTAAAATTACCATATATGGAGAAAGAATATAAGATAGTTGGAATAGCTATATAAAAAAAAAACATAATTAATTATCACAATTAATGTAAAAGAATGTAAATGTAAAATTACTAATGCTTAGTTGTAGAAAGAAAAGATTTTATGTGCACTGACTTTCTTTCCATAATCCAAAAAGAAAATTGGAAAATGGAAAATGAAAAATGAAAAATGAAAAAGAAAATAGTCTGGTTGAAAAATTACCTTTTTTTTTTCTTTTTGAGAAGAGAAAAATTACCTTTAATTGTACTAAAGTTTATTGCAAAGCTACGTCGTCTTTGCTTAGAAGCAACAGAAAATCCACAAAAGTCAAAGAGGACGGGGCCGACGCCTTTGGGTTTATTTGCTTCTACTCTATTCTCTAGTTATACCAAGCCCCTACCCTTGTGCAAAATATATTCAGTTTAAATAGTATTCTGTTTTTTATTTTCAATAAAATATGATTTTTCGTCATTGCCACTAAATTACTATAATGAATTTAACTTATTCTAAAAAATAACATGAATAGATGCCTTGGTGGTGAAATGGTGGACACGTAAGACTCAAAATCTCGTGCTAAAGAGCCGGTCACGACCTAGGGTCGTGTTTGGCTTTTCGAAATGAATTAACCAAAAATTCATGTCTAATGTAAATATAAAATTTTAATGATAAAAAGAATGAATCACCAAAACTATAATAAAATTTCATATCAAGACCAAGATGAAATATGCACAAAAATATTTGTATGTTAACCTACTAGATTACTTTTTTTTGGAGATTTGAACTTCACATAACAAAATAACGCAAAATAACGCAGAGGACAACAAAATGGAAGCAAGAAAGAAACTGGACGAAGGAAGAACTTCAATCCACTAAATTGAGAATTTTTACCAAGGAAATAAGAAAATCAACCACTAACACACTAAACATACCACTATCCTTAAATTCCTCTCTAACTAACACCACGACTCCCCTGAACTCTAACCTTTGAACTCTCCAACTTACGCATCAAATTATCCACTACTTAGTTAACTATCAACAATCAACAATGACATTTAATTCTATAGCACAACTCCTAAAATGTGAAAATACTAACAAAGAATCTAACACATGGTTGCCGTTTGCACTAATCTTTTAACACTTCTAATAGAATATACACCTTAATTAATTGAGCTGTATTAGTTAACTGATCAAATTTAAAAATTAGTTTGCCAAACATCCCAAATTTCTCGACCCAAATAATTCACCTCAAGTCTTCTTAAACAGACTTGAGAACACAAATCCTGTGCAAATTTCAGTTCATATCGATCAGTATTGAGCTTCAAAACCAGCAACTTCAGTTTGAAATTTATGCTGATTTTCCTTTATGACTATGTACTAAGCAACACTTGAATCATATCATCAAGATTCAGAACCTTACAGGTGGCTCATTTTCCAGTTCTACTTGAATCAAATACATGATGGGTATTCAGCAGAAGGATCTGGAATCCACCATTTCGCAGGCTCTAATCAACACCCAATATCTCAAGTTAAATGAGCCGGGAAAGTTACAGAAGATAAATAAAATGCTACAGAGATATAAATGACAAATCCGGCAGTATAAAATTAAGTCAAATATATGATGAAGGCTAAACTGGTTGATGGTTGTCAAAAATGCAGATGGGCTGACAGGACTTTCCTACTCAGAATCAGAATCCGGAAGTTGCATCTGATAAGCATTTGGAGGTTCAAAATCAGTGATGGAAGGAGGTATGTCAGCATTTGATGCAGTTCTCGCACGGTTTCGGTTTCTTTTTCTAGGTTTGCTTGCTTCCTGAAAAGATGCATATCGCAAAAACATTGTCATATTAAAGATCCATATAAAGGCGCAGTCGAAACAACCGTCATTTAAGTTATAAAACACAAACCATTTGACCATTTTATGAGTTGAGATTATATTGAAAAAACCAAAAGAAACATTTACCTTAGTGGATGGTTGAGTTGGTTGATTTGAGGGGCTTGGTTGCGTAGGTGGTCGAGATGGGGGAGTGGGTTGAGACCTGCGTAGCCAAATTGTGCCAAAAGACAATAAAGAAGCAAGAAACAAGACTGGACCAATCCTTGGATCCTCTAGACGGTCATAGATTCTAATTTTAATCTGCCCAAACCACTTCATCGCATTTGTTATAAGACTGTTCCCGGCACTTCCAAACCGCATAGGTTCTGAATCTTCATGAACAAGTTCAGGAGCCTTCACCCTCTGGCATTTAGAAAGACAAAGATAAACATCAGCTAAATAGTCGTCAACTAGTCCCCATGCCTCATTCTTCAACCATAGAATCTGAATTTCCACTGGTCAAACAGAGGTGGACTATTGGAATAGACGCTTTCCTGTCAGTTGCAAGAACATCTACAGATGCTCTAAGCCATTTTCCATTATTCCTCTTGAAGACTCGAAGCAAAGTCATACATGCGAATATAAGTGGCTCAATAATCATTTAAAAAATTCCCATCAAATAAATGAAAACATTAGTGGACTTGAGATTTATCATACGAGCGACATAAGTGGAAAGAAAGAAATAAAATAAAAAAAGGATAGTTCAGCAAAATAAAATTAATAAAATTTTTTAAAGTGGCTTACATAATATGGAAGATCCCTCGAATCACCATCCTCGATTATTTTTGAGATCCATTGAACAATCTACAAAAGAAGATAAAACAACGCAAATAAGAGAAGTATGCTGAATCATTTGCAAAGTTCAATAAATCCTAAGGCACTAAACGATACTATTAGAGAATGTAATCCCTTGTCCAAATCCTAGGATGTTATTTCCTACATTTTTTATGAATAGTCCATATCGTAAATTAAATTAATTTCCAAGCCCACTATGGAATGGAAACAATTAAATTTATCTTAGACCTGACAACTTAAGCTTTTGACTCTACAATAATTTGACATAAATTATCACATTAAACATCCTTAAAAGAATTGAAAAAAGCATCATCACAAGCATGTGAACATATATTGATCGATGGGCAGTAGTTAATGAGGTCAATGAAGTATCAGACAAAAAAGCCTAACCTCTGAAATTTCGGACGAACCATTGTAAAGAGCCACAAGTTGTGAGGCATGATCAAGATCATCGGATGATGTGTCGAACATACTTCTTGGCTTTATCTCCTTGTCTTTAGTAGCATCTCTTTTGTACCGCACAATAAATAATCGAGGCACATCACTGAGATCTCTCATTGGTCCACAAGTTTCATAGCTAGATTCAGAACTGATGTAAAAGAAACAATATTTCTAGAGAAGAATGAAAAAATTTGTCAGTGAGAGAGAAGAAGAAGAAGCATGGATGCATTCCCAGAGAAATGCAAATAGGATACACTTCGTTAATATGTTGTTGCCATTGCGAAAAAGTTCTAATTTCATTAAATCTTGTTGCCATTGCAGTATATAATTTAATGAATATGCTAAGGAATGTGAGTCACCTTCTGGGCTTCACCGTCAAGCCAAGTGAAGGACAAACGTTTGCTTTTCAGGGCAAATACAGCTGGACTTATGCTTGGGCCTTCATCAGCTCCATAAATTCCACTGTCACTCGTTAAAGTATCTTTAACCCTGCGCATTGTCTAACTTTTACATAATTACACCATTCCTAAGTTGTAAAACAGATAGTTTGCATAGATATAAAAGTTAAAATGGCTTACACAACTTCATTTAAGTGTGTTTTATAGTGTAACATCGTTATATGTACAATTTATGTAGAGGTGTGAAACATACTTGGCTTGGCCAGTACAATAAGACCATATAATGCACATGGAATCATCTAGTGTACATTAATGATATCAGAAAATGTTCTCAACTAGGATTAGAAGGCCTATTATTATGAAGTTTTCACAGAAAATTTTGACAACATATCCATCAAGAATAACCAATACCCTAACTTTCGAGAGAAGACTATTAAATGATAAATAACGTTGTGCAACTTCAGAAATCTTCAAATTGGTCATATTGATAACATTACTCAAAAGTTATCTCAAATTACATAGAATATATTTAGCAACTAGTATATTTCCAAAAATTAGGGTAATATTGTCTTTTAGTAAGGAAAGTTATCCCCCAACTTTTTTAAAAGGAAGTAACTAGAACACATCCTACCGTTAACAACCAGATCTAATTAAGTTTTAAATACAAGTCCGTGAATTAATTTATATACTTCACTTATTTGAATACTATTACATCAAATAACCCAGAAATACAATTACCCTGCACTACCTGCATGGAAACTATTATGACTAAATGATGTATAATTCAGTATCTGTCAACAGATCTACAAGCAACTAAACAGGCAATAATTAGACAAATTAAAAATTAAAAAAAAAAAAAGACTAGAACACTACTACATGAAAGCCAACCATAGGAAAAAGGCTTACTTCACGCATTTTGTTGAGTTCTTCACCCAGCCTTCCAGCTACAACAGCACAGTACCACGTTAATGTGTCAGATCCAGCACGAGAGTAACCACGAGCATCACATCCCAGCTCCATTGATGTCCGGCTTCTTAATTGAGGAAGCTCTAAAAAAGAGAAAACGTGAGGAACCCAAACCCCATGGGAGAGATGGAAGAAAAGTCGAACAAAAACATTGCATTTTAAAAAATGGTATGGTATCAAGGGAAAGTAAGTATAAAACAATTTAAGAATTCAACTCTATGAGTAATCTAATTATTATGCACGAAAAGCACATAGAAATGAATTTAGTATTGGTTAAAAAAACAAACGAATTGACTTAGAAGGAGAATCAGAAGAAACTACAATACCTTGTTGCTTATTCTGTTCAACGAGCTGTACAAACGAGGAACTGTTGACAGAGCCTGATGCAAGTAGTGCATATTTTTATTATTCAAACACCATAGAGAGCAGAGTATAACGTAAAAAATGCACACAAATGGAGTAAGGCATAGAAAAAGAAGTGACATGCCATGGTACACAATAGGTTTCATTCCTGGATCTTTCAAGAAAACAATAGCAGGCGCAAATTCCACCCCAAACCTAAGTCCAATCACAAAAACTCCATCAAATTCTGATGAAAACAAAACACAATTAGAAAGAACCAATGGTTGTGAGCCCATCTAAGTGAAGCAGAAAAAGAAGAACATTATAGTTGCAAAATTAAATTAACTAAAGACTTTATGACAAATACTAGCAAACAAGCTCATGTGGAACATCAATACTAAATAGAGACAAGTTATACGCATCAGTGTACTATGCATCAAAGGATAAGAGAGGACCATGCACTCACGCATACAACCAGACAGCTGAATCTTCTTGTCGCCATAGCACAAAGGCAAATGAAATGTGATCCCAGTAGTTCTTTGCAGTTTGGCGTATGAATGGTGCAGCACGTTCTCCAGTTTCTGAGAAAATAATAACTTTGACCTATTTGCCAGTAGAAAGATGGTATATTTGTGTCAGCTAATTTGGAATCACTACAACTTGAGGAAGTATGTCTCAATACATTATCATAGCAACAATCACGTGTAATAGTACCTATATTGTAATAAGAAAAATGAAAATGGGGGAAGGTAGAGAATTCAGAATTGAGATGAATAGTACCTTATGGGGACTAGTCTTCGCCAAAAATTTTTGTCCCTGAGAAAGAAAAACACGAATTACAAACTCATAGATAATAATCTTCCAAATATAAGTGTAAATATGATAACATCATTATGGGCACTCAAGTGCCAGATGTTGGATGGGCGAGGGGAAAAGGCGTGCCGCAAAGATATTAAAATAAATCCTGCTATACCTCTTTTGCACGAAAAATCAAAGGGCTACAGCACTACAATTACAGATTACTTCGTCTGTTGCAAATTGGAAGTTCTCATTATGGTAGTCACGGTGAAAAAATATCTATAAGACAAATAGATATAAATATAATACTACAATGCAAATATCAAATAGAGGTGTATACCTTTAAAACACAAACAACATACAGTACTCAAGCACACATAATACACAGAAGTTGGAATAATATACAAAATTCAAAAATTATATGACCAGAGCCAAAAAGCACTGTGTAAAATACTCTGGACATATTGTAGCATAAGTACAAGAATTGTCACATAGAACACCATCCCCAGCCAATACATCAAACCATGGAAAAACGAAAAAGAAAAATAGAAACTGCACACAAAATAGAACACTTTGAAACCCTCAATATTACCAATGAGTCCTTTGCGTAGTAAAGGATTCGAGGTAGATGCAGTACAGTTGTTGCAAACCAATCTGTAATATCATCAGCGGAAAGCTTTCCCACAAACCTAGGAAGAGTAAATATGTTCACTTAGAAAGAGTTTGTAATCAAGAAACAAGGATTTGTATGTGCATCAAGTAATAGGAATAAAATTGAAATTACCCTTTTGGAAAAGGAAAAATATACTCCGATTCTTATTTGATGTTAGGGGACTACTGATCTATGATATAATTAAGCTAAATGTTTACAATTGGACTTTCAACACTAAACATAATTACATCCCTCTTTGATTTGGCCAGCTGGAAGCTCTCTCACCTAGCCTAGTTCTTTAGGCAGATCAAAGAAACCCTCATCTATTCTTTATTATACTTGTTTGTGATCCAAGAAGGAAGAGTTCTGAAATTAACTTGCACTCTAAGTTCGTTCAGTTTAAGATCTATCCCCAGTGAAAACTGACTCACCTAATAATGCAATCAGCTGATTTACAACCAGAAGGAAAAGCAACAAGTGACGGTAGTCCTGCATAATTATTAAACAAAGAACAAATGAATCTGAGTGATACTCCCAGATGAGTCGAAACCAAGAAATATTGTACAGTTTTCAGTTATAGGAAGCATTAAAAACAATAGCAAAAAGTTATTTAGATTTAGAGAAAGATGTACATAGAGGAGTATTTCTTAGATCTATTTTCTTTTATATAATAACAATATGCCCATTTGTCTTATTCCTCCTAACCAATTTATCAGTAGAGTGCCAAAAAAAGTAACGCAGTTAACCAATGAGTTAGAGTAACATACAGATGGGCATGCCATAAGTATTGCAAGGTAGGATACATATGTAAATTTTCTTATATTCGCGAGTGTCTAGGCCAACTTGTGCGCACCTCGAATAACCGTCTAACCCTACTACATTTGGTTTCCAAAGTAACCCACAGCATATTACATCCTATGTTGGTAGCTACCATGAACTTAGAATACATATATAATTAAAGTTCTATAGTAATTTAATATCACAAAATGCATCTAAATCTTTTGAATTGAATTATTTGTTGCTTATAAAATCTTGTGCACTGAACTGATGTGGTCATTACGAAATAAGCGCCAAATAAGAACTGTAACATGGAAAACTCAAAGGACTACACAATTCTAGTTATATATCTCTATAGCACAGGTGTTCTCGAGCAAAATTTTAATATTTGTATCTTTATAAGCTCACTAAGAAAACAGCCACACATAACAGTAGGTCTACAGAAGAAAACATTAGGTTGAAACAGAGAGAGAGGAGAGCAGAGGATGAAAAGGAGTCTAATCAAGTGTACTTATTTCTGTTCCATTTTTTTCTAAAGTTTTAGGAGACTGAATTTAAAACTTACCGTTCCTAAAGAATGGTTGTCCAGTAGTCTTTTTCTCTGCAAGGTAAGCAGCAAGTTGAGCTTGACCAAGCTCCACTACTGCAGTATTAGCAACTCCATCCAGCAAACTAACTGGGAATGAACATAAAAGGAAAAATAACAAATTGTTACAGCAAAATGCACTTCATATACACTCAAAATAGTGAAGCATAATGTTAGTGCATTCATTCTCCCAAGGAAGTAGGGGTGAAGATAGAGGAAGAGAAATTTCATCAGATTTCATCATTGTGTCTTCTGCTTATTTAACATTTAAAATAAATAATACCTAAAAATTTTCACAAATAATAGGTAATTTTAAGATTCAGTGTTCAAAAGTCATTTTGCTGCTGTACAAACATAGAACATGAACCATCAGAATTGCTCCATAGATTGTTTGGTATTTCCCATATAGTGGAGCAAATTCAGGCTTATCTTTTTTTTTTTTGGATAGGAAACAAATTTCATTGATAGCACGAAATATACAAAAAAAAAACCTATCCATAGAGGTTACAAAAAACTCCTCCAGTTGGATATTAGAGAATTCAAACTGTAACTATTAAAAGGATTTACACATTTGCACCAAGATAAAGCCAAAAAAATAATAGTCTATCAAATACAGGAGCAAGTGGTTGGTGTAGGTGTCCTTGAAAATTCTGGAGTTCCTTTCTTTCCATATGATCCAAATGAAAGCTCTGTTGATGTTCATCCAGAGGATAGCTTTTTCCTTCTTAAAAGGATGTGATAAAAGGATTGTTTCAAGCCAATCTGGGATGTTGTTAGGTAGGCAGAGAAGGGATTTTTGTTATTATGAATTTAGTTTAAAACAGCTATAACTGAAACCAAATCAAATTATAAATAGTAAACAGCCTATTTGCAGATATCATTTAAATATCTGAGCTCACTAATAGATTAGTTGCACATTCTCCGTTAGGGTGCTAAACTACCAAGGCAACGGCTACTTGGGTACAACATGGGGAGCTAAAGGTAAAAGAAAATCTTAAACACATAAGAGCTTATGAGCATATCGTGTGTGCTATTAATTAATAAATGATTGTAATGGGCAAGGACAGGGTCTGAGGTGAGAAGTGAACAGAAAGGAGGGGGAGGGAGGAATTAATGGAAAAGGACAAGTAACCTTGATTATGTATTTCAGTATTTCTCATTAGTATTTGAATTCACATACTTCAAAGAACTAAGAATGAGAACCAACATTGAGAAGAAATATAATTTTACTTGAGAATTAAGAATAACCTAGACAAATTAAGACAAAAAAGGAAGTTAAATGAATATTGTGGTCTCTCACAGAGATAAAGAAGGAATAATTAATTTTTATAAATTTAAAATTATATTATTTATAAAAAAAAATTTAAAAACCCTAAATTTCTGTGGCTTCATGTGATTGGAGCTATTTTTTGGTAGGTGTTGTTAGATACAAAAAATAGGAGAACATTCAAGGGTCACAAATCAACAAAAATAGCGTTTTTGTTTCTTCTGGAGTTCTCTTCATGAAGAGATTTAAATTATAATCTTGTTATCTTATGATTAGAGTCACTTGGAGATTCATAACTTCTTCGGCTTATGTTGGTTTTTGCATTGTAAGTTCATCCTTTCAATGAAATTTATTCGATAGTGTACATTGAAATTAGAAACTTTTTCTGGCCCACATCCTACAGAGAAACCTATGAGGCCACCAATTGCTAATTTCTGTAACGGGTAAAGAGGGAACTTCCCACCCAAGTTGTAGTAGGGGGGAATATATTGCTCGGGTGTCCTTGGGATTAGGGCAAGTTTGTTTTGGAATAGTGTTTGGATAGGCATTTTGGAATGTTTCCCAACCCTCTCAAACAGGCTGCTTTTTTGCTTTGTACGCCTAAGGGCTTGTTCTTCTTCTAATACCAAGAATTGTAAGGTGATACCTTACAAAACCATTTCTCATTTATTAAACTTGGAATTCAAAACTTAAGCCAGGCCTTTCCAGAAAGCAGTTCACTGCATCTCCGGGACTTACTTCTGCAGCAATTCTTGGATCCTTTGGTATAATGCTGTGGTGGCTCTCCTTTGAAGACTTCTGTTTGAAAGGAACAAGAGAATTTCTCAAGGGGAAGATACCTCTCCTGAGGTTTTTTGGGATTTGGTTGGGCTGCACTCTTCAACTTGGTGCTCTCTTAATAAAGACTTTTATAATTATAGTTTGATGCAAACATTTTCAATTGGGAGTTCCTTTTATAATTCCCTGGGCTGATTTGGAGATATCTCATCTCCTTGTTTTTTTGTACATCTTCCCTTTATTAATTTTTTTTTTTTTTTTTTGAGGAATATCAAGTTTTCATTTCTTATAAAAAAAATAAAATTGGAATTCAGATGAAGTACATACCAATTCGTTTCCAGACATCAGAAAATTGATCACATAGTTTGCTTCCAAGTGAATACAACTGAAACAAATTTCAAGAAAAATATTTAGAACCCGAACTAGTGTGCAGCCATCACTATAATATGTGCTTATTAAAAAGAAAATAATTAAAAGAGTTCTCCAAGATTTTAAAAGCTCCTGATTTAAGAAACTAATGTTGCAATACATGGCCAGGTACGCCATGTTAGACAGGATGAGGCAGAGGAATCAGAGAGAACAGCACTAGAGAATGCAAAAAATTCAGGAGACAGGAAATAATGCAAGCAAACTAACTGAAGTGCTTGCTTCTAAATAATAATCATGCCAGTTATAGATGAATAATGAATAAAGATAACTGTAAAATTATTATTGAGTAACGTACAATTGAGAAATCAATATATTTAAATATCTTGCTTCACAGTTCAAATACATAAGCCTGGCTAAAAGAAACTATAGATAAGTCCTATGGAAAGAAAAGAAAATGTCCAACATAAGATAAGAAATCAAACTCTTGAAACCTTCATCTGCACATAGTTTATTCCCGATTTAAAACGCAGGGATTATAATTGGGAACTGTTTTCAAAATTGAGCACCCTAAATTCTCTTTCCCCGAGCTAATTGATGATGTGTATGGACCAGGAAGAATCAACCGATCACCTCTTCCAGACCAATAGACCCTAATTAAGGATTATTTGTATTTTCAAGGGAAGATCCCAATAGAGTCCTCTATAATCCGAAGTCTACCAAGTTAAGTCTTGAGCCGCACAACTCATTTTTTCTGTCTTTGATATACTTCTGGTCTGTCTTGGTTATCTATTCTCATTTGTTTATGCATTTATAAATTCCACATAACTTTATTTCGATAATAATGTACAACATTCAATATTTGAAAGAAAGTATAATAGATAGTGGAGTCTACATGCTTAAATAACAAAATGAAAAGCACACAGATGGTATTACTTGACCCTTAGTGAACTGTTATACAGTGCATCAATCTACTAATCTCAAACTATGAGGCTTTCCTTGAAAAAAGAAGGGTAAAACGAAGACCTCCTCTCACAAGGTACAAACACACGCACTGAAAATTTCTTAATTAGGAATTTACCATAAGTAGTGATGGCTTATCATCATTAAATACAGATTGAATATCGTTGGAGGTAATGAAATTAAGGTTGTGATCTTCGGTATCTGCACCAGAGATGGCATAAATGCATCAGCGTTTCAGAAAAGAAATTCTAATAGAGGTTGTTATGATTGTAAATGTAACTCAGTAACTCACTTAAAGCAACTTCATCCAACAATGGGAGACTTATTTTAGAAAACTTTTCTCCTGAATATTGCACTTTGACCTTTTCAAGAACACCCTGCATCCATAATGTGAAGTATACCAAATATTAACAATTTAACACAAACAAGAGGATAAATGGTACAAGGAGAATGATACAAATATAACATGAAACACTAAATCAACTACTCACCTGTTGTTCGTCGATGCCAAAAAGATCATAGTTGCGTTTCCAAAAATTATTTTTTAGCAACTCATAAGCATATCGAATCTGCAAACCATATTTGGTTAAAAACTTTCTGTAGGACAACCAATGATATGGATGGCTAAAATAGTGAGTTTTCCTTGCCATAAAACTCAGGAAGAAGACAAATATATATATATTATATCATTTGAATGATGCAACCAAATTATTTAGTTTTGGAGTCAGTTTCCACCTACCTACTACATACATTAGCTAAATGTTCTTGGAAAAGTATAGTGTTTAACATAACATACAAATTTTAATCTAAGATACAATTTTATTCTTAAAGGTTAGAATTATTAGCAGGAGTTGACTAACTCATTTTCTCTAAACATTTTTTTAATAGGAAGCAACTTCCATTCAACAAGAAAGAAACAAAGAAACAAAAGGGAAGGGAAAGATAAGACACCCATCTAAGGAAGCTTCGGTGATTACAGACCGTGCTCCAACAAATCAATACATGCAAGAAAAAGGGGTACCCTATATGATGATAAATGATACTTATAAAAGTTTCAACAACAAAAATTTGTTAATAGACATAGTTTATGCCAAAAAAAAAAACAGTATTGGGGTTAAGAGAGAGATAAAAGTCAATACTAAAAAACATAATATATAGAAGTTTAAACAGATCAAGACCCATTGCCTAATGAAGATCCTATACAGTTTAGCATAAATAATTTGATGCATTTCATGTATCATTTCCCCAACAATAGGCTGGGAATCTATATCATATAATATAGAAAGCAGGGGGCAGAAAGAACAGCGCAACATTTACAGCAAAAATCAAATGTAATTGTAGACAAATGGCAAACTTTCCAATTAGAATATTTCAGAAGTTAAATTGTGTCATTTACATTTAAAGCTGGCGGAAATGCTCCACTTAAACAAGTAATCCATCTATTCATATCAAGCTAGTATGCTACAAAGAAAAGTTGGACAATATTATTTTTTTTCTTTTTTTTATATTTGTGAGTGTCCAGACTAGCTTTCGCGCACATCGACTAAGTTGGATAATATTATTAATTATAAACTTTATCTATTTATTTTTTATAATTATGTCTATTTAGTCTCTAAACTTTAAAAATTTCAATAATGTCCCTAGACTTCAAATTATACTAATTTTTAGTAACTGCAATTTCGATGGAATGCTGACAAGACACACCATTAGATAATAGTTGAATGAGGTGACGTGATATAAGAGCTAATTGAATGATTTTGATAAATGAACACAAACAAAACACTTTACTCCTAGTTTTAACCCGTTGTATGCAACTGCCAACACCGACTACCTATCGCAAATCTAATTTAGTTGTACGTTTATTCAATCATTCATTTGTAATTTGTCCAGCTTAATGCCATATTATGTCACCTCATCATATTTTATCTAATAGAATGTCACGTCAATCAATGTTAACAAAGTTCTAGCTGACACAGGCACTAAATAGAGAAAACGTTGAAAGTAAACAACCAAACAGTAAGGAGAAAGGTAATGGCAGAAGATCCAACTCCAGTATTCCTATTCAATAACTACTGCTACATGTACAACAAACAGATAGCTGTAACATGATAACTGACAAAATTTCCCTCAGTTAAGATCTGGGTGATTCAACGAGAGGGATGCGACCTCTGGAGAACAAGTTACGAAAGACTGACCTTTACAAAGTCGACAGTCTCCGGAACTTCAATTCCTGATTCCCTGAAATAGTAAAAAATCCAGAGATATTACTGTATCATTCTTATAATTTCTTACTAAATAATCTTCCATCGGGTTTTGAAATTCACAACAATTAGTGAATGGACAATTCAGCATTTTAATTTCAAAATCAAGCGCAATGTATAGTGCCACGAAGAACACCAATAAAGAAACCTGAAGACACAAATTACCACTTCACTGAGAGCTTTTCGTACGCTTCTTTCACTTCATCAACGGAGCTATACCTCTTGATTCCCAAAACTACAGCATACAGGCCATAAATTAATCACCGAATAATTCCAGAGAAAAAAAGAAAGCAAACGAAATTGACAGTGTATTCATCGTAATATATAACTTTATAATGAAGTTTTTCTGATTCCTTACCGTCGTAGTGAGATGTAGGGAAGGAGATGGGAATAACAATGAGCTGGTAAAAGACAGCTACGGAAAAAAGAATCAGAGGCACCACGTAGGCTTTGATCGTCGACGCCACTGAGGACGTCGACACCGCCGGTTTCGACGGCGTCTTATTCATCTAAGATACCTGACCTGCAGAGCCCCGGCCGGCGCGGCGGAGAAAACGTTCTACTGGAGCAGTCACGGCGGCGATCGGAGGCGCGCTTTTATGAGTACAACGCGGGAGCAGCAAAATTCGATGATCTATGCGTATGCTTGGGCGTTACTGTAAATGAGATGCCAATGCGGCAATCCCGATACTGGACTGGGCTCAGCCGGCCCAACTGAACCCCCCAACGAAAACTAAAATTTAGGAATTCTTTTTTTTTTTCCTTCACATTATCTTATCAAAATTTCCCTGGCATTTAAATTATGTCTTTTTAATTGAGGATGGACGATAAAGTAATGTTTTGCACCAAGTACACGAGATCCATTAAAAACGAGGTATGGTTTGATGTTGGATCTCTGACATCCCTTCTTGATATCAAATATCAAGGTAGGCAAACATCCCTAGAAATTAACTTTTTAAATAACTATATTTAAAGGTTTATAATAAATATAGATTACTTCTCTATATTTAAAAAATTTAAAAACTAAACTAGATATCAAAACTATTGATAAAAATAGGTTAAACGTTTGTTAAAGTAAAAAATCACATACAATAAATGTGATTTTAGTACTGACATGACATATATGACGTGGAAGGTCGGTGGTGATTTAGAAGGGAATTTGTGTACTTAAACATGAGTTCAAAGAAAATCGGTGTACGATTCTGAAGTCACGTATAATGTATACGATTTCGATATTTTTAGTCGGCAGGCGACGGAGGCAAGCGACGGCGAGCTAAAAGCGGGATGGCGAAAAAGATGGCGTGGCGGGGACTCGTCGGCGGCATGGGGAGAAGACCACGAGTGGGAACAATTTCAAAAGAGAAAACCCACCCAAAACCTTATGTAAGAAGGGTTGATTTGACAACTCGGATGGTGACTGGGATTTCCATCAGCAAAAATGTAGTTGGGGCTATGTCACAAAGAAGTTGTAGCCACACGATTTCGCCTTAAATCGCATCTAGCGACTATGATTTCAACTTAAGTCGTAGTCGTTGTATGCGATTTATATGAAATTGCAGTCAATAACTACGATTTTGCTTTCCTACTTTTGAAAATATTTTCAAATTTATATTGTGTTTCTCATTTTAAAAAATTGGGAGAAGTATTCCTCCATTATTTTTTTAGTAAGTGATTTAAACGTTTTCCTCAATTTACGACGTTTAATGATAAATACAAAAATATTTAAATAAAATTAAATTTCTTTAAAATTAATTTTTTGAAGAAGCACTTTGATATATGGTTATTTAAAAGGTTATTATTTAATAAGTTATTATAAGAGTATCTAAAAAGTCATTGACTCTCTTATATAGTTTATGATATTTAAATTTTCAATAAGATTACCAGGAAAGTAAGTGATTAGATTTAAAAATCTCAATCACGATTAACACCCTAATTGATTACCAGATTTAGAATCTAATTCATGTATTACCAAATACGATAACTTACTTGACTAAAATGGAATGATCTTCCTATTATTGGCTTTGGCCGTAGTGGTTGACAGTGGGCAAGATTAAAATAGCGCCTTCTTTGGATGCTAACCACCATACATAAATTAATCACGCTTATTATTTCCATAGAATCACCCGTAAATTTAAATTTAGCTCATATCAATTTGAAACGTTAAAGTGAAAGCGATTATCGCTCAACGGTAATTGACATATATTTCCAGCTAAGAGATTGTGAATTCGATTCTCCACATCCACATGTCGTACCGAAAAATATATATATATTTAGAACCTTAATAAGTATATTAGGACATATATCCTTCATCGAAAAAGTTGAATGTTTGAATTGTCAGTCCTACATATTAAATTTAAAAATAACTAAAATACACATTTTAAAATTTTTAATAACCAAAATGAGATCGTGAAAATTTATAAATTAAAATGARGTTTTTTTAGTTTAATAATATGTAGGGTTGGAAATTTGAATCTTAAAGCTTCTGAGAATATATATCTCAATGGGTTGAATTTGATTATTTTAATTTAATAATGACGAACGCGGTTAATAAAAATTAGATTTCTAATAATTTTATTTAGCATCGGTATAAATCTGCTATATAGATTGACTATTTTGTCACTCAAAAATATGATCGTTGTCACTGAAGCAACGAAGAGCAATATTTTATACACAATAATTGCAAATGCAATAAACTACACACTTTATTCGATTAATACTGTTTTTGTGATTTGATTTTGGTAAAATAATTCGTGAGTGACAAGGATATCTATAAATCAAAAAATAAGAGACAAAACTTTGTTGAGGATGGAGATAATCCACGAGCAATGCCAAAAAAAAATAAAATTAATAAAATTAAAATTAATGTCACGTGTCCAATAAGGAAAGGGATTATTCAAAACTATACTATGAAATATTGAAAATTCGGCGGGGTTTTCTAAACGACGGACAAAAAAATTAAAAATACGGTGGAGTATAAATATAATATTGGGATATTAGTCAAGTTTCGAAAGATTTGGTATGAGAGTGAGATTCAGAAACAAATACCAATTTCATATATATATATCCATTTTTTCA